CTAGCCCTTTGCCTCCTTCTAATCCGCCTGTTTTACAACCGTCTACTCTTAGCAATCCAATTACTACTAGCATAGCTACTCCATCTACAACAACACTAACAGGGGCACAACATACCGCTCCCTCTGCATCCTCAAAGGCCTCGTCATCACACCTTTCCAATAATATACAAAAAGGCAATTTATCTCTCGAAAATGAAAAAAAGGCCCCGAATAACAACAACTCCCAATCTGCCAAGAACAAAAGCGGCGCGACCTCCTTCTCCCCGGTTTCGACCGACCATCTGCCTACGCACAATCCTGCGATTGGTTTTATGGATGTTGAGTATCCCAGAATGTCACGCCCCCTTGCCCTGGTTGGCACGAGACGTATTGAGACTGAACCTTTGAAGGTCCCCGTCTATGAATTGAACCGCCCTCATAAAACGGTGAAAGAGCCAATCAAAGCAATGTATAACCTGAGACCTTTAAGATCTTCCGATTTCGCAATATTATACGACAAGAAAATTCAGCGTGTGAAAACACATGTTAATCATGAAGTAGTGGGGAAGATTGAGTTCTCACCCCAATTAAAGTACACTCTAGGGTTTTCGGATTATGGGGAAATTGTAAACGAAACTGTCGCTCCATTCTCTCCTGATCTCAGTGGTGGCATCAAGAACCTAGCCGTATACGTTGACGATTTAGTTGAACAGGTTATTGTCGGCAGTTTTCAAACACCTATGCTTCGTATGGTTACAGTAAAAGGCAAACCGGGGGATGTTGTGGAACAGATTTACGATCAACCGTTAATGATACCTGTTAGAGCAAGGGAGATCTCTGTATTACATGTTCAAATTAGAACTCTAGATGGACGTTTATGCCCTTTTGATTATGGCATTACTTGTTTAACTTTATGTTTCAAACCTCTGGCGGTTTTTTAAATTTATTGTTTAATAAATAATAATTGCAAGTTAAAGGGAGTATTCGTGAAAGTTCTCGTACAGCTGTAAGCATGACAAAAGGCTCTAATAACATCTGAAGGCTTGAAATCTTTTAATGGCAATGCCTCCACCTTAAACTCATCGAGATCCATCTCCCCAGAAATGTGCATAGTAATGTAATTGAAACCTATAACAATATGATAATTCAAGTTAGTCTCCAACCTTTTGAGTATCTGTCTACAAGTTCTTTTACAAGCCTTTCAATATTTCGAACAGTTGCATTCCGGGGTTTCTTTGTCTCGTACGAAGCAGAATATGAAAAATAGTTACCGATTGAACTTTCTGATGTTGAGGTACAGTTAAACAACTCCATGATAATATTTTGTCTACTATAAAAAAGAAACATTTATATACTGTGCACAGATCATGAGCATTTTAAAAAGCTTTCGTGATCTAGACGATCCCTCTGCATACACAGGGCCTTCTCGTTTGGCAAAAACAAAGAAGCTAAAATACGAAGATGTTCGGCGGATCTTGGTTTAAGATCATAAACATGTCCTTCTCGTAGAGGCGAGAACTTTGAGACGTTATTATGTGCATTTACATATATTACAATCGGTCTTTTGAACATGTCAGCTCCATTTATTACCATATCCGGACCTCCGTCAGCAGGTCTGTTGTTCTTCCAAATTCTCAGAATGATAACCGTCTCCGTATTCCTAAAAATCTTGTATTATACAAATCGTAACTTACTTATCTTCTTGACGTGCTTTTTGGCACATTTCATAAAACTCGCTTCTCTTTGTGGTTCCTCCAAGATGTTTTACAACAGTAGTGTCATCAACAAAAATTACCTTTTCGGCCAAATTTTTCTGGACCTCTGTATTATCCAGCTTCAGAAGTGTGCCCGGATATATTGCCTCACCTCCCATATTAAAATCAGGGAACGGCCATTCTAAAGTGATGTGATTGTTAAAGCAATCAGTTGCACAAATTGTCCTGGACTCCTCGCTGTTGAAGGTCTTGAGGACCTGGACGACTACAGTTTTGGATGTTGTCGTATCCATCATTGGGTTGATCAGAAAAGAGGCGCGCGTCCTCTCTTCCTCCGTCATAATAGGCGCAGCCATATCGCGAGGAGACAAAATAAGCAAATGAGGTCATTTGCTTATTTTCGCCTCGTGGAGTTTAGCCCCAATCTTTTTCTAGCTCCGCCCTCATGATTTCGATTACCCTTAACGAATATATCCGGAAGACATACGCCGTGTCCATTGATGGGGTCGATATCAATACTTTGAAGTTAATAAATTTTAGTGTAAGTTTTTAATATCATATATTTTATGTTTTTTTTTTTTAGAATTTTTACATGAAATTCCGTGGGCGTAAGATTTGTCGTCTGAAACCTGTTCAAAGCAAATGCGGTGAGAAGCTGTGGTTCTTTTCGCTGTACGATAAAGATGATGGATGTGAGAGCGACACTAGATGTCTCTTTGACGGAGATGAAATTCAAATTTATTTAACACCTGTTACCAAACGTCACACTGAAGTCCCTCAATCTGATCTTATTTTTTATACAAATATTTAAAAGATTTTTTTTTTGAATAAACGAATAAAAGTTATTGGATTCTTAATCCTTTTGAAAAGGGTAAAAATTATTTCATCATCATTGAGTCGAAAAGTTTATTGAAGGGTCATCAACCTTTATTGATGGACTTGATAGTCTTGATCCTTCCGCTTTTTCCGGAAAAAAATCACAGACATAAATCATAAACTCTTTAACCTACCGCAACCTCTAGGTTGCGCAACATTCATAACATCTCGGTTGCGCAACACCCCGCAACCTCTTGCCCTCCCGCAACCTCTAGGTTGCGCAACAACCCTCAATCCTCCTCTTTTCCCCACTTTCTCACCCTTTTTCAATTTTTTTTTTTACCGCAAAATCCCCCTGACCTCTCTCCCCACTCTCCTCCAATCCCACACTCTCTCACCTTTTTCATTTTTTACCACAATTTCATCGCGTCCTTTCAATTACGACACCCTCTCATCTTTTTTGAAATTTGACCGCAAAATTCCCCTGACCTCTCTCCCCACTCTCCTCCAATCCCACACTCTCTCATCTTTTTCATTTTTTACCGCAATTTCATCGCGTCCTTTCAATTACGACACCCGCGCATCTTTTTTGAAATTTGACCGCAAAATTCCCCTGACCTCTCTCCCCACTCTCCTCCAATCCCTCACTCTCTCACCTTTACAGTACTACCATACCATAAAAATTCCCTCACCTCTCTCCCCACTCTCCTCCAATCCCACACTCTCTCATTTACGGCACCCCGCGCCGGCTCCTCCCCCCTTTTCCAGTGGATGCAAAATTTAGTGCCAGAAACTACCTCTTATTACTACTAATAGTCCTCGCTCCGAAAGACCTTTGGATCAAGAGCCAAATGGCGGAGGGCGTCTTAGCTCTTACCGTTTTCGAATATGGAGAATCAGAATATACCGGTCCCATAGCTCAACTCATTTGCGATCTGAACGACTTCTCTTGTTAGGTGAAGTCTTTTTGCTCGTAACAAATCCGATTTTTTGGGATCGTTGTCATAGCTGTAATGTCAAGTTTATCAATTCTGTGGTGGAGGCGGCAAAGGTAGGTTCTAACCAAGAAAAGAGAAAAATATTCCAAAAATCAAAACTTTTTACTTTTTCGAATTCTTCATAAAATTTTTTCATTCTAAAAATATCGATTTTTTATATCAATTTTTTGTTTTCGAATTTCTTTTAATTTTTTTTGTGTTAAAAAATGCAAAATTAAAAAACCCGAATAGAATTTTTTTTGTTTTTTTTGTAATTTTTTATTTAATTTTTTTTATTTATTTTTATTATTTTTTATTCTTTATTTCACATAAAGAAATGAAAAAATAAGCAAAATTGCAAAAAAAATCTATATTTTTTAACATTCGCACCGCCAATTTCCGCCTTTTTCAGAAACGCCGCGTAACCGTGAAATTTTTCACCAACTGGTACGACTACGCCCAAATCACCGGGACATCGATGGAAATCGCAGACACCGAAATTTGGTATTGGCATATGAATGCGGTCGGGCTGGAGGGCCGAACAGATCCCTTTTTTCTGGACGCTTTTGCATTTGGCCCATTCTCCAAGGACAACATTGTTTTCAAGCAACACATCCGGCAAGATGAGACCTGCGGCGTTGAAATTAATAGGACTGTTAAGTTAGTTCCGAATCCGGGAAATAAAAAAGAATGAGAGAATTATATGGTCAACAAACAAAAAAAATTTACAGTGGTTAATTTCAGAGTTCATATTTTGTAAACAAAAATTGCAGAATTTGGCATTATCTCTCCACAAAAGATATTAAAAAAAAGTCTGGGCGTTGCACTTGGGACTTCTTTGCAAATCCAAAAAATTTCATGCGGTTTTCGTTGCAACATATTACTCATTATTTTCCCGACAGACTGATAGCATGGGTCTGGAAATGTTGATCCTTTCTAAATCCTTATCAAGGGTCAACGTTGTCAGTTTGTCGGGAAAATAATGTGGACTCGTCGCGCCTTGGAATCGCCTATAATCGCTTTGCGGCGGCCAGCAGCGGAGATTTGGTTGGTGCGCCACTGCGACAACCCGAGACATTTTATAAATCCACATTACTTACCCGACAGATTGATAATTTTTGTTCCTTAGGCTGTTAAGAAATTATTGGTGCGACTTTGCCTACGACGGAGTGCTCATTATTTTCCCGACAGACTGGGAAAACATTAGTAATCGGGCCAATGTGCTAATTGAAAGTTTGCTGAAAATCATAGGGCGCAGCTCGGAGAAGTTGCACGGGCGCAGCTCGCGTCTTGGGCGCAGCTCGAAAACAAGCTAAAAGTTAGCTTCGGCGAGCTGCGAAAGCTTGTTCTCCGAGCTGCCCCCGAGATGCGAGCTGCGCCCGTCCCAGTTTTCCGAGCTGCGCCCTACCATTTTCAGCTAACTTTCAGCATATTTCTCAAAGTTTAAAATTTATTTTTTTATTAAAATTCTTATTATACAATAACCAACTACATATATAACTCTCTGGTTTTTCTACTGTTTCGTCTTATTCTCACTCTCATCTTTCTTCACCATTACACTAGCGCCCATTCCAATCTCCATCGCTCCACTGGCCTTAAAACTGCCTGCGGCGAAGACATTTTGATTCGCCGAAACGGAGCATGGATTCTCTCCGATCCCATACTGCTTCACGAGGGGATACTGAAGGAATGGGCCGAAGGAGCGGAAGTCATTGAAATCGCGAGCGGTCTCGCCGTTCGCCCCGCCCCCGAGCACATGCCAGTACCAGAGGTCGGCGGAGTCGATGGCGCGCGAATTGCCGGTGATCTCTTCGTAGTCGTACCAGTTGGTGTAGAAGCCGATGCGGACGTTGCGAGACTGAAATTTTTACACATTTAGGTGAAATACGAGCTGATACGACACTGTCCTTGGTATCGTCGACCCGAACTGTCGGTGACCCGAAAAGTCGTAGCGTCGGAAAATCTACAGGGGAAGTGCTCAAAGCCCTACGCTCAGACTTGCGATTTCTTACAAAAAATTGCATAATTTTGAATTACAGGGTGTACCAAAAAAATGGAAACTTTTTTTCATGGGTCCTGACGCAAAAATGGTTAGGTGTAGCCAAAGAAGTTTATTACTACAAAATTCTCTGTGTTTTTCTGTCCTAGTGGTTTGATTTTTATGCCCATATCGATTAATCGACCTGTTTTTCTGAACTTCAAACGAAGGGACCTCGATTTTGGACTTGTTTTTGGAGCTGTTCGAACAGTTAATTTTCTCGGTATAGAAAGAACGTTGTGTCAAAAGTAATCACGCGGCGCAAGGAGCTTGACACGGATAGTAAGCGCCCAGGAAGTGAAAGAAAACGCACCGCCAGCGCTTCTTTCAACCGGAAGATCCCCAACAGCAAAATCCGCGATTTTCAAGAAAAACTTTCCCTTGAGACTGACATCAGCGACCGATCGGTCGGCCGAATAGCCAAAGACGAGATCAATCTCATGTTATACAAGCTCTAAAAAATTCAGATCTTTAAAGTCGAGAGAAAGTGCGTACGGCACAAAAATGTCGGAAAGTCAAAGGGGCGGGCCGCAGCTCCGAGACGTGAGCGCATTCAGTTCGCGGTTCAATATTTGGCGGATACGCAACCACCAAAACGATAGAATCTGCTTCAATGAAGCTCCTAGCCTGTTGGCCATCGTCGAATACCGCCAAATTCCGGGCCGTCATTGCTTAAGGCGGAATTTGTGCCAGCGGCAAGAAATCCATGTTTTTCGTGAATCAATGGGGCAAAATACTAGCGCCGCGTTAATTTCTATTTTGTCGTGCTTCCGTCAGCTCAGCAGAACCTTGGCAATGCAAACTTGGCGTTCCAACAGGACTCAGCGCCGGCTCACAGGGCAAAATCGACTCAGGACCCGAAATGGGACCGATTTTCCCGATTTTAACCCGTCTGCGAAATGGCCGCCCGCTCGTCGGATCTGAATCCAATGGACTATATTTTTTTTAAGTAGAAGGCCAGCACCTGTACTATGCTCCACGAAAGTTTGGGGTCGCAAAGTAAATGCTGCGCCAAGAACGGGGCCGATTTCCCCCTTAAAAAGCTGCGGCCCGGAGCCCAAAATTTTACGTCACGTTTGGAGCTCTATATCGCCACCAAAGGCAGCCACTGTGAAACAGGTTGAACATGTTATAAACAATGCTCTATGTTACCAATAATGACCGTTACTTTTGCTGAATTTTGATTCTCCGAAAAAATATAGCTATAAAAACAAGTTTCCATTTTTTTGGTACACCCTGTATATCTTCACAAAAAAATATTTGTTTTTGAAGAGAGATATAATGTCAAAAAATTCCTGCGGCAAAAAGTCCTGAGAATTTGCACTCTGCGGCTTTGGTTTTGCGATCAATCATCATTGTTTGCTTATCACCCACGGGCAATTGGTACGTTATCTATGGAACCTGTTTGCGTTGAATTCCAGAGACAATCGGCGACTTTGATAAAATTCTTTTGTCAAAAAAATCATATCTAAAATTTTTGCCATTGTCACGATTCCGTGAAGAATTCCCAGAAATTAGCATAGACCGACGAATATTTTGATATAAATGTAATAGACCGATCGCTTTTCGGTCATTCGTTTTGGGAAATAAACCTATATTTGTATTTGTTGGAAGTCCCTTTGACACAGTGCGGTGGTGGTCGAAGCTAAATGGAGTCAATCCGTGTGTTCGCAGTTTTTCAACTAGAATTCTCTAGTTGTGGTCTCCGGGTTATTAGGGCTAGTGAATACTAGGAGTAGAGGGCAAGTTAGGGGCCTCATTAGACCTCGACTATCTAAGTCTTGACACCATCAAAACATTTTTTGATTTTTTATGCCGAAAATTGAATTACAAGTCTTTCGTAAAGTCGCTGGAGTGATTTTTGGCGTTTGCACTGTGCGGAAAAAGTCAGAGTGCGACAGCCAAAAAAAAGCCGTTTGCACTGTGCAAAAAAGCAGGAAATTGCACGGTGCGGCATGAAGTTTTGTTTTTAAACAGTGCATGTCGCGGGAAACAGCCGAAAAAAGCCCTTTGCACGGTGCAAACTGAACTTTTGTTTTTGCACAGTGCATGTCGCCGGAGACAGCCAAAAAAGCCGTTTGCACGGTGCAAACTGAACGTTTGTTTTTGCACAGTGCAAGGTGAACTTTTGTTTTGTCGCAAAAATCACTCCAGCGACGTTTCGGACGGGCTATCAATCTGTCGGGAAAATAATGTGGATTTGGAAAACTTCTCGCAACAACGCGCCAAACCACCAGCCGCCGCAAAGTGATGATAGGAGATTCCTAAGCGCGACGAATCCACATTATTTTCCCGACTGATAATAAACTGCCCAATAAAAAACAAAAAAGTCTCTCACCTTTCCAGCCCTCACAAAGTCGTTGATAAACCGGACATTCGCACTCTGACGCCGATCCCATTGAATGGGCGACGTGATCTGAAGCCACAAGCGATTCAAATTCAAATTGTTTAGGCGCGCAAACTCGTAGGCCTGCTCGAATTGACGATCTGCGTAGCCTAGGGGGCTGGGCGTCACATAAACTTCAAATGCCAAGCTTGCTGAAAAGCGGGGCCATTAATAGCCAGTAAAATTGCCAAAATTTATGTCGATTATTTTCCCGACGAACGGATACTTTTAATCATTTTTTCAACGATTTTATTATTCTAGTGAACATCACTTCCTTACCATCATAAAATTTGAGTACATTAGTGATGCCAGTCTGATCCGTCTCTCCGCGGCTGGCGATCCGAAAGAAGCCGGCTTTGTATCCGGCCCGGGCGAAACAACTGGCCTGGTTGGCATCAATCGGCCACGTTGTGTCGATTCCAAACGCCGCAGGGGCGGTTAAATTCGAATTCAAATTGCCCGCAAAAGCTTTGGCGGAGAAAATGAAAATAAAAAGTCCCAAAAATTTGGACATTTTTCCCAATTTTTTGGGCAATAAAATTTTCTGAGGCCTTTTTATACGAAAAAATAAAAGGCGGGACTAATTTTCGATTTGGAAAAAAAATTAAATGCAAAATGAACTTTTTGAAGGAAGGCTTTTTCGAAGTTTCCGGCGGTTTCCGACTGATAAAAGGGAATTAATCGCACTAATACCCGGTAATTGAAGGGTGTTTGGCCGGAAAAACGGCTTGATAAAGGCTTGAAATGAAATTTAGAAAATTTTTGGGGAAAAAATAACAAACTTTAGATTTTCAATATATTGCTGAAAATAAATTGCTGAAAAAATAATTGAAAATAATTGTCTGTCGGGAAAATAATGAGCACAATGCCGCTGCGTCAATCGGGTCGCTGAGGTGAAAAGCAATTTGATTTTGTCGCGACACAATTCATTTTCTCGGCGGTGATGCGATTTTCGATGCAACAGAGTGCTCATTATTTTCCAGACAGACTAATATTTTGTCGCAACTTTTGACCTCTCATTCTGTTGGGAAAACAATGTCGAGTCCCGAGACGCAAACAAAGATTACTGTATTGGCATTCCGCTTCATTCGAAGATTCTCGAACCTCGGAGGAGAAATAGGACTTCAGTTGTTATTAATCATAATTCAGTGAATGCTATCTCCGTGTTTTATCTCTGTTATTTCTATCTGATAATAAACCTATATTTGTTATTCATGGTACATTGGGCTGACATCAACATCCTTCACACCTACACAGTGAAGGATACAACAAATAATGTGGATTTCTCGAAGAAAAATTTCTGGCAGTCGCGCACCAAACCCCGTCGCAAAGCCATGATGGGAAATTTTTAATTCGCGAGAAATCCTCACTATTTTCCCGACAGACCGGTTAAATTTTTAAATGTTTTGATTTTGAATTTTCTCATATTTTTTTTTGAAAATGGCCAAAATATATATTTTTTACTGAAAAAATGGTTGTTTTTCTTTCAATTAAATATTACCAATAATGCGCTTTGACATAAGAGTGAAGATATAAGAACGCAAGAGCCATTTTCAAAAAGCACCCTAAATTTGCTCACTTTTTGGCTCGCAGGCGATTCTTTCATTTTGCTCACCGAAACGGCGAGCAAATCTTTCACGGCGAGCAAACTTCTAATTTCGCCTGCCGCGGCGAGCAATTTTCTAATTTCGCCTGCCGCGGCAGGCTACGGAAAGACTTGGCTTTGAGCCAAGTCTTTCCCCTTGGGTGGGTCTTCCTCCCAAAAATTTTTTTGTCAAGATTGATATAAATTTCTTTGTGGTGTACTCTACATGCATCGACAGGACAATAACTCCAAAAGTAAGTTAAATTATCCCTCTTTCTAAGTATGCCATCATTTTTTGCATTACATAAGCTTATCCTGGCGCATTTAGCCATTGTTGTAGGTATACAAATTTAGCTGAATGCTGTTCGTTCTTGCGATTCCATGAACGAAATTTGAGTCTTCCACGCAAAAGAACCGGCGTCGGGCCTGCTTCGTGCCAGAATTGTTTCAGCATGAAAGGATTTTTTTCTTGATTCGATATTACACTAGGTACTTTTATCAAGTTGCAGGCAAAATCTAATGTTTTTGAAGTTTAAACCCGAATCTACAAAGGTGAGCTATTACTAAACCGTCCCCAACATAACTATTCTTTCAAACCCGGGTTTGAGATGTTTTAGGGCCTAAGTGACCAAGTATAACGTGGATCTAAATCTTTGCTAAGTATAAATACGCATCTATGGATACGTCAAAATTGTCCCATACCTAAAATCGGAAAAAAATCAAAAACGTACCTAGTGTAATATCTAAAATCGAAGCAACAAAAAAATCCTTTCATGCTGAAACAATTCTGGCACGAAGATCCCGACGCCGGTTCTTTTGCGTGGAAGACTCTCAAATTTCGTTCATGGAATCGCAAGAACGAACATCATTCAGCGAAATTTGTATAGCTACAAAAATGGCTAAATGCGCCAGGATAAGCTTATGTAATGCAAAAAATGATGGCATACTTAGAAAGAGGGATAATTTAACTTACTTTTGGAGTTATTGTCCTGTCGATGCATGCAGATTACAAGAAATTTATATTAATCTTGACAAAAAAATTTTTGGGAGGAAGAGCCACCCAAGGGGAAAGACTTGGCTCAAAGCCAAGTCTTTCCCTAGCCTGCCGCGGCAGGCGAAATTAGAAAATTGCTCGCCGCTTCGGCGGGGGCGAGCATTTTCGAAAGTTTGCTCGCCATTTCGGTGAGCAAAATGAAAGAATTGCCTGCGAGCCAAAAAGTGAGCAAATTTAGGGTGCTTTTTGAAAATGGCTCTTGCGTTCTTATATCTTCACTCTTACATGCTTGAAAATAAACTTTGTATAATAAATTGCCATTCAATCGAAACATCAATTCACGGCCGGATGGAGATCCAATTGTTATCCACGTCGCATGTCTTCATTCGAATCGCGAACTGTTTGATGGCGGCGGGGCCAGAGAATGGGCCAAACTGACGGTAGTCGGAGTGTTCGGGGGACTGCTCACCGCCGGGACCGGGCGAGTTCACATGCCAATACCAAATGTCGACATCGACATTGGGGATTTCCTTGGAATTTCCCGTGATTTGCTCGTAGTCGTACCAGTTGGTGTAGAGACCGGCTCTGATCTTGTAGCGCTGAACTCTTAATGATTACTGCGATGCGACAAAAAGTCTACGCACTCAATGACGATAAATAAAGTGCCATCTATTAATTCCTGCAAATTTTAGTTCGCGCTTTTTAGGCAGTATATTTGCTGATTTCGCGCGGAAAAAATACATTTTTTGTGGAAACATTACTTACTTCGATAAAAGTAGACCTGAAACTTTTTACGCCAAAATCCGCAAAAAAGTGTCACATCTCTGATAACTTTGGACGTAAAAATCTCGGCCGTGTTTGCAAACGGAATTTAATAATCTCGCATATTTTTTAGCAAAAATTAATCTAAGTGTATGCCTAGTTTCATCTAGACTTGGCTGCCGGGCTGCCCGGGCCGGCCCGGGCCGGGCCAAAGCAAAATTGAAACGGGCCGGGCCGGGCCGACCTGTTCCGGCCCGCGGGCCGGGCCGCAACTTTCGGCCCGGGCCGGCCCGGCAAAATTAAAATTCTGAATTTCAAAGCGAATAGTTGGGTTGCCAATAAAATTAAAACGCAAAGCCAAGAAGGGGGTTTATATTTTTCTCACAGTAAGGGTAATTTTATAAAAATAAAGCACGGAACTACTGAAAAATGGCTAATAATAAGTAATTTTACTAGTAAAATCTATTAAGTACTAATGTATACTAGTGTTTGTAGTAATTTTTTGAAGCAAAACTCAAAATAAACGTAACCGACATCCTTAAAAACACAATTAAGAAGTCGTGTGAAGCAACACTATCATCTTGAAGTTAAAAACCTTGTTAAACGTGGTTCCACCCTTGCTGAATCTGTAAAATTGGTCTTGGGGCAATTTTTAATAGTCTGAAAACGGATCTCGGGAATTTTTTGATTAATTTTAAAAAGGCAATGCGTTGGTAAGTAATTTTTTGCTTTAAAAATGTACTGTTAGTTGCTATAGTAAAGAAAAATGTGTCATATCTAATAGCGAATTAAGGTTTTTTACTTCTTCTCAATTTTCGGGCCGGCCCGGGCCGGCCCGGGCCGAAGAAAAATTGAAACGGGCCGGGCCGACATCTTCCGGCCCGCGGGCCGGGCCGCGATTTTCGGCCCGGGCCGGCCCGAGAGCCAAGTCTAGTTTCATCCGTATCTAACAATAAGCGATTTTCAACAAAAACCCCGCTTTTCATAGGGCGCAGCTCGGAGGCTCAAATGCCAAAAAAATCACCCCAATTTTTTTTATAAATCAGAGGTCCTACCTTAACCGCTTGAATGAAATCGGTGATGAATCTGGCGTTGTTGGTCGTGTTTCTGTCCCAGAACATTGGCGAAGTGACTTGAAGCCAGACCCGCTGCGGTACCAGCTGCTCCGTTCTGGCGTAATTATACGCCGAAATGAACTGGGGTCCGGCTGGACTAAACGGATTGGGCGCAATGTAGAGTTCGTATTTAAAGCCGGCTGAAAAAATTGTTTTGGTAATATGCGAAAAAATCAAAAAAAAATGAAACATAAAAAAATGGATATTCAATGAGCGTTGCGGCCGAGAGAGTACGCGAAATATGGAGAGTGTAACAAGCCAAGTTACACTTTAACTACTACTCTCAATCGGTGGCTCTTTTACCCAAGGCCGAGGCTAAAATTGTCAATCTAAAGCCCCAAGCCCGGCGCCAGAAAAATTACTTCTAGCCCCAAGCCTCTACCGTGTCTGGGCTAACGCGCAAAAAATTTACTTATCCTTCTTAACTCACCGGCATGAGATTTGCGCGCATTTTCCACTCCGACCTTATCCACCGCTCCTTCGTTTCCAATGCGGAAGATCCCGGCTCTGAATCCGTTTTTCAAAAAACAAGCAACGTCTTTGTCCGTCAACTTTGCTGTGGTATCGATACCCTGCACGACGGCGGCGGTCTTTGCATCCTCCTGCAAGGGCGCGGCGTTGTCGGCAACGGCCAAAAGAGAAATGAGGAATTTCCTCATTTCCACTGGTTGATTTGGCCAATTTCGTCGCTGTTTATGTAGTAGTTGTGCATGGGAGGGGTCGGGAAGGGAGTGCCGTTTTCCTCCGAAGATTTAACGGGCAATCGCTGATAATTCTCGATAAGTATGCGCTGTTTACGGGAAGTTAAAGCCCTTCCTTTGTTCGATTAGGCATATCTTGCAGTGAACAATAGGACTGAAACGTGTTTACGGGTCAAGAAATTAATGATTTTCACGCAAACAAGGCTTGCAGCTTAACAGGGAGTGTGTCAAGTGCGACGTACGAATTTTCGCTAGAATTTGCCACACTTTGGGCATAGGCCGCATATCAATTCCCACGAGCTTCAGCTTGGGCTTGGCAAGCACATTCTTTAGAAAGGTTGCGTTTAACTTGGTGAAAATGTTAGAAAACAATGAAGTCCCCTGCAAATCGAAAATTTTGCAAATGGCTAGCCTGACACTGAATCCTTCAAAAAATGCCGATCCCTTTTTCACCACTCTCGATGACCTGAGAACTCCGGATGCAAAAGACTTGCACCTTTGCTCAGATGCGGCACTTCTGTACATCTACATGATTGATGTAAGTTGGCAGAGATGTTTTACAAGTCATTTGTAGTTTGAAGATTGTGTCCCCATCTTGTGCCAAAAGATAAAAAAATGGAAGTTCATACGCACAGCTTCCTTGTTTCCCCAAAGAAGGATTTTTCAGAAAGTAGTTCATGGAAAAAAACTTGTAACATTTCTGAAGTCAAACAATTACAGGTTGGAGAAATATTGGTTGACAGACATGTTGACCTGGAAGCGGAGCAAAGAGAAAGCTATGTGCTGCATTACAGAAGGTTAGAGGATTTACGTTAATAGGACAGACAAACAAGGTCTCCACTTTCTGTGTATTGTTGAAAACGAGGATGAATGAAGCTGTATGTGTTTCCGTCAAACAACTGTCCTCCAAGAGTTTGTTATACTCGAGTGTAATTGTCTTATCGTTCACTTTTGTTTTCCACCAGGATGTTATGCTTTGTTACTCGTTGTTTTATGGGTTATCTGGTGTCATTGTTTTATTTTGGATGGCATAAAAAGTAAAATTGTAAAAAAATACATTTTAAACATATTCAAATTTTTCTTTTTTTGCAAATATACTATTCTAAAGGTGCTGTAATTTCAAATTCGCCGGGAAAGAGTCCTTGTTCAGCACCACGCCGCAATTGGTCGCTCCAATCGCGTATTGTTTGGCCTTGGCGGCGCCAGTAAATGGGCCAAACGGGCGGTAATCGGAGTGTTCGGGGGACTGCTCACCATAGGGACCGGGTGCGTTCACATGCCAATACCAAATGTCGGTGTTGGAGATGGCCCTGGAGTTGCCGGTGATTTGCTCGTAGTCATACCAGTTGGTGTAGAGACCGACTTTGATGTTGGAGCGCTGAAATCTTAATGATTACGGCAATGCGACAAAAATTCTACGCACTTTATGACGATAAAACTTTGGTTCAAATTTAAGAAAAATTTTGTGAAAATAAAAAAATTAGTGTCAAAAAACCCCTCATTTTTTGATGAAAAAATGTCTTACCTGAGCTGCTCGAATAAAATCAACGATAAATCTGATGTTGTTGGCCTGATTACGGTCCCATGAAATGGGCGAAGTGACTTGAAGCCAGACCCGGCTCGGAGTCAGATTCCTGCCTCTGGCGTAGTTATAAGCTGAGGAAAATTGGGAATCGGGCTTGAGGCTCGGGTTGGGGGCGATAAAAACTTCGTAGGAAAGCTTGGCTGAAACAAAATTTTTGGTAATATACGAAAATTGATGAAGATACAACAAGTTTTTACTAGAAATTTTCTATTAACTTTGCTGCAAAGTGCGAGTTTTGGCTCGTACTGTGAAGAAACAGTTTAAAACTTGTGTGACGCTCAGATCTTGGTACAGATTTAGAATACATTTTTCAAAGACATATACCAGATTTTTAGCCCGCGCGCTTCGGGACATCAGGGATTTTTATTGCAAATTGTGCAAAAAAATGACACTTTCTGCGAATTTTAGCATGAAAAGTCCCATGCCTATTTCTACCGTAGTGTTTCCACAAAAAAATCAATTTTTTCCGCACGACACTGGGCAAAGCTCAAGCTAAAATTTTCAGCAATTGTTATGTAGCCTATGCCCAAAATGTGCGCAAAATTTGAAGAAAAGCTGAGCTGCGCACTTGGCCTACTTCCCCTGTAAATCTGTAGCCCTAGAATTCGTTATTTCCATTTCATGTCTTACCATTCGTAGCCTTGATCACATTCTCCACGCCCACCGTGTCCGGCCCTCCTCTGACGCCGATCCGAAAGAAGCCGGCGGTGAATCCGCTGCGGAACAGACAGCCGAGCTGCTGATCCGACAGCGGGGCGGTGGTGTCGATTCCGTGCAAGAGTGCCGCAATTTTGGCGTCCTTCTGCAAGGGTGCGGCGTTGGCGGCGACGGCCAAAAGTGCGATGAGAAATTTACTCATGGTTGTCTTGGCTGACTTTCTCGTTGTTTATGTAGCCAAATGGGCAAGGGATAGGTCGGAGAAGGAGTGGCAATAGTTTCCAAAGACTTGTAATCACCGAGAGTTTGCGATAAGAGCTCATTGTTTACCGGGAAGTGATAAGGAGTTCTTTTGTTAGATTAGGCATGTTTTGCAAACTGGACTGGTAATTAGATCCACCCGGAAGCAACAAAAAATAGACCAAATGATGTCAAGCGCTTCAGCCAAGATGTTCAACAATTTTTTACCGACGAGAGAGCGCGCAAAAGGCGGAGAGCGGTCCGAGAAAAACAAGACTTTTTGGCCATATCTTTGCTAGCTTCGTGCGGAAAAAAATATTTTTTTTGGGGGAAACATTACCCTATTCCGTAGAAACAGCGATGAAACTTTTCATGCCAAAATTCGGTAAAAAGCTTTCACTTTTTTGCCTACGTTTGACTTGAAAACCTCAGTCGTGTTTGCAAAGCGCGAGCTAGGAGTCTTGCATATATCCTAGAAAAACGTATTTTAAATTTGTGCCAAGTTTCATCAAAATCTAAGCGTTGCGTTAGAAGTATTTCCCCTGTTGATAGTTTGAAACTCCACAAGGGTAGAAAGGAAATTTTGGTTCACGTTTCATTTATTTTAAACGTTTTATCAGTTGTTGTAGGTTCTGTTCTAGTCTGAGAAAAGTTTTGAACGCTGTATCAGTCTGTCAGGAAAACAATGAGAATCCTGTTGCGTCGAAGAGCATCGCCGCCGAGAAAATAAATTTGTAACGCGACAAAATCAAACTGCTTTTCGCTTCAGCGACGCTCAGATTTCTTTAAAATTTTGCACCTATTTTGCTCATAGGCTACAGATCAAACTCGGACAAGTCTTATTTGGAATAATCATTGCACGCGCAGCCGAGGAACTCAACAATCTTTGCAGCCCATAGAGCATGCGCAACGCTGAGACCGTCACAGAGAAAAACAGTTTTTTGGCCATATCTTTGGCAGTTTTGGCGGAAAAAAAACGATTTTTGTTGAAATATTACCGCCCTCTACGTTCGAAAAAGCCATGCAACTTGTCAGGTTAAAATTTAAACAGTGGATATTGACGAAAAAAATTTGTGTCTATTTTTAGTATGATAAGCGTAAAATAATTTTAAATCAGAGTCTCCATAAATTTGCATATTAATATTTACTAAAAAGCCATAATATTCGAAACAACGTGAAAAAAAGTTAAAACAATGTGAAAATCATATTAAGCATTCACCGGAGGTCAAACACAAAGGAAAAATTATTAGTGTTTTCTGTAAGACTTTCTAGATTTTTGCATACATTGATAGCAAAAGCACACGTCGTAATCGGGCTGAGGTTGGCAGAAATGCCTTTGACGCTGAGGCTGCATTCCATAGGGCATTTGTGGATGTTGCCCATAAAATGAGGGCTGAGCTGGATATTGAAGTTGACCTTGGATGTATGACGGAGGCTGACATGGGTAAAATTGTGGCTGAAAAATCAAAATTAAAAATTAAATAGTCGAAAAATTGATGACAAAAAAATTTGATGACTGATAATTAAATTAAAAAAAATATATTTGGATTGAAAAAAAACCAGCGGAAATTGTAAACTCACATAATACGTCGTCATTTGTCCATAAAACCCGGTTTGTGCCGGGTAAAATTGGCCTTGCTGGACGGGAGAGGACGCCGTTGACCAGGGCGTGTAAGATCGCGAAGTTTCGTCGCAGGATGAGTATCCTGACGACAGGCTCTCCACTGACGATGGCCTGGGTGTCTGAGCTGGAGGCGGGGTCAAGGGAGGGCTCGGTTTCGATGTCTGAGGGCCCCAAACGTCAAGGAATTCGGCAAAAACAAAGTTGTCGGCCGGTTGAGACATCTTGGAAACAATGATGATAAAAGTCGAATAAAATACGACGGAGCGGATATGGTTTTAATAATGAAATTTGCTCTGTATTTATACGGCTCTTTTGACTTTTTCTGTGTTTTTTGTTTTTGATTTTTGTTGATTTTTTCGCAGAAATTTCCGCTTCTGCTTGTTGCGCAAGAGGAAATAGAGCAAGATCTTGCGTAAAATCAGAATTTTCTGCTCTGAAAATGCTCTTTAAAGGAATGTCAGTGGATTTGAAGACATAAGATTGTGTAATCAGCATTTAAAATTATTGAGGTTTGAGATTTTTTGGTTGAAAACATGATTTTTTTCAAAAAACAAGAAATCGGATTTTCCGCAATTTCCAAGAGTTATTTGTAAAACAATGTTTTTTTTTATTTTTTCTCTGACCTCCTTATTTTGCGTTCTCTCTCGTTTGCGAAGATTCTTCAATATCTCGGTTATGGGGGCAAAGCAAGAGTTAAAATGCTCAGGATTACTTATATGGCTTAGTTAGATGGAATTCATAAAAAAAATTTCTGGAAAATTTTGAGCTTCCGTATTTTTTGATGTATTAAAGATATTTTTAAATATTTTTTACGAAAAAATCTTATGTCCTAAAAAAAGTCATCCTAAATTTTTGCCAAATTTAATCAAGTTCTGAGCGACGCACTTGGGGCACTTCCCCCCTGTGAGTGATTCTTACACAAACCGCCAACCTTTTGCAACTTTGTTTACGGTTAAGGGTCCACCCGTATTTCGTTACACGGACCGGATCAAAACACTTTTTATCTTATTATTTACCATTCCCTTCGCTTGCAATTAGATTTTTTCCCGCTGGAGTTGGGGCGAATCTGTTGATTACAACTTTTAATCACTTCAACGTTTCGTTTTGGCCGCAAATTGTTCGGTTCTTCATTCGTAACGTCCTGAATTCAGTGGGGATCGAGTTGAGATGGCGACCGATCAAGAGCGACGCCAGCAGATCAGTGTGCGTGGAATTGCGCAGGTGGAGAATGTGGCGAACATCAAGAAGGCGTTCAACCGTCATCTCCACTTCTCCTTGATCAAGGTAAATCGCGTTTTTGTCTCATTAGGTGCGACAAATCCACATGATTTTGCCGACAGGCTATTAGTACTTATTTTCATAGAATTTCACTTCAAAAACTCGCCTTTTTTAGGACCGAAACGTCGCCACTCCTCGCGACTACTTTTTTGCGTTAGCCGACACCGTCCGAGATCATCTGGTGAGCCGCTGGATCCGCACGCAACAATACTATTACGAGAAGGACCCGAAGCGCGTGTTCTACCTGTCGTTGGAGTACTACATGGGTCGCACCCTCTCCAACACCATGCTCAACTTGGGCATGCAAGCGACGGTGGACGAGGCGCTCTACCAGCTGGGACTTGACATGGAAGAGCTGCAGGAGTTGGAAGAGGACGCGGGCCTCGGGAATGGAGGTCTAGGCCGCTTGGCCGCTTGTTTCATGGACTCAATGGCCACGTTGGGCATTCCGGCCTGCGGCTATGGCCTTCGCTATGAGTACGGGATCTTCAAGCAGCTGATACGCGATGGATGGCAAGTCGAGGAGCCGGACGATTGGCTTCGCTTCGGGAATCCGTGGGAAAAGGCGCGTCCCGAACATATGTTGCCTGTCAACTTTTATGGCAAGGTTGAGAAGGATTCCAGTGGAAAGGTAAGAGAAGAGTAGTACAAGATTAAATTGGGAGGTGCTCAAGATTTTCTTCAAATTTTGTCCACAGTTCCTATATAGAACACATTTTTCTTCATGAAAATTTTAGCGAACACTTTGCTGAAGCAGCCGAGATATTCAACGATTTTTGAAAGCGAGAGAGTATTTTTTCGAATCAAGAATTTTCAGAAAGATCGAAATAAAAATTAAACCTAAATTTAACCATAGTAAAACTCAATCATCAATTTTTACCCTACCAATAATCCCCACCCACTTTTAGAGCCACTGGGTGAACGCCGAGGTGGTGTTTGCGATGCCCTACGACACGCCGGTGCCCGGCTTCCGCAACAACGTCGTGAACACGCTGCGCTTGTGGTCGGCCAAGGCCGAGAACCACTTCAACCTGAAGTTCTTCAACGACGGCGAGTACATGAACGCGGTGATGGACAAAAACTTGAGCGAGAACATTACTCGGGTCCTCTATCCGAATGATAATGTAGGTCTGGGGAAGCCGGAAAAAGTTTACGGTATTATCAGTTTGTCGGGAAAATAATGATTACAGTCGCTGCGACAATCGAGTCGCTGAAGCGAAAAGAAATTTGACTTTGTTGCTAAAGTTATACAAATTCTATAGTCACGCCTCAGGCACTTTATGAACGATTTTTAGATCTTTGTTGGTAAAGAGCTCCGTCTTAAGCAAGAGTATTTCCTGTGTTGTGCCACGCTTCAAGACATTTTTCGGCATTTCAAATTGACCGCTAAAGATCCGGCTAACGTGGACTTCAAGCAATTCCCCGAAAAGGTCGCTATCCAGATCAACGATACGCATCCGGCCATAGGGATTCCGGAACTCATCCGGCTGCTGGTGGATGTGGAAGGTATAGGTTTTAATATTAGCAGGGGAAGTACTCCAAGTGCGGCTCTCAGATTTTGATGAAACTTGATACAAATTTAGAATAATTTTTTCTAAGCGAGAATCCTAGCTCGCGCTTTGCAGAAAAAACCGAGATTTTTAGATCGAAAGTCGGCAAAAATTTATGACTTTTGCCGAATTTCGGCACGAAAAGTTTCATGGCTATCTCTACCGTAAAGGATAATGTTTATACTAGTCGCGGAAAAAAGTCCTGGGATTTTTCTGCGACTCTGCACTGTGCATGAACCCGAAAAGTGCTTTTGCATCGTGCAATTTTGTTGATTTTGCCTTATTGTCGCGCGCGATTCCCGCGACAAATCAACTTTTCGGGGCGCGACGGAATTTGGGGGGCGCGAGAAAATCCCAGGACTTTTTTCCGCGACTAGTACAAAAAATCAAAAACTTCCGCACGAAACTGCCAAAGTTATGGCCAAAAAGCGCTTTTCTCTCTGACCGTTCTCCACGTTTAGCGTGCTCTCTCGGCGGCAAAAATCGTTCGATATCTCGGCGGCGCCCGCAAAGCGCGAGCTAAAACTCTTAGGAATTGATATTTAGTCCATACCCGACGTGTATGCAAAGTTTAAAGAAAATCTGAGCGTCGCACTTGGAGTACTTCCCCTGTAAGATAACCATCGTATCTCAGGCCTTTCCTTCGACGACGCCTGGGAGATTTGCGTCCGCACCTTCGGCTACACCAACCACACCCTGCTGCCCGAGGCCATGGAGCGGTGGTCGGTGACGTTGCTGGAGAACCTGCTGCCGCGCCATCTGCAGATCATCTACGCGATCAACCAGCGCTTCATGGAGGTGCTGTCCAAGAAGTACCCCGGCGACTTCGACCGCCAGCGGCGAATGTCGATCGTGGAGGAGGGGGATCAGTTCGGCGAGAAGCGCATCAACATGGCGCATCTGGCGATTGTGGGCTCGCATGTGACGAACGGCGTGGCGGCGCTGCACTCGGACCTGTTGAAGAAAACGACGTAATCTTTGAAATGCAATACTATATACATTATACTCGTAGCCTCCGTGCATCTTCGAGTGTCGCGGTAATCATGCTTGTTTAGATTCAAGGACTTCTTCGAATTGTTCCCGGAGCGATTCCAGAACAAGACCAATGGGATCACCCCGCGTCGCTGGCTGCTCCTCTGCAACCCCGCCCTCTCCGACTTGATTGTCGAGAAGATTGGCGAGGAATGGGAGACCGATCTGTCGCAACTCCAGAAGCTCAAGAAGTTCGTGGATGACAAGAGCTTCCTCGATCAGATCGGACTCATCAAACGGGTAAGCCATGATTTTTTTTGGCCTTGCAAGGGAAGTGCCACAGGTGCAACGCACAGATTTCCTTTACTTTTTACAAAAATAGTCAAACACTTCTATGGGGTACGGAGTTACAGGTCGAGACATGTATCCAAATATCGCAAAATTTTTTTGATTCAGAATATGTAAAAATTAGCTGCCCAATTTTGGTTTGTAAGGGTGAAAAAAATCCTCGGAACTTTTCTCGGAACACCACGCAAATGCCTCTTTTTTACATTGGACTGCTAACTAATATTGTATTAATAAAATTTTTAAGGCTTGTCAAGGTTTACTTTAGTTCAATACAAAGCATTTGATTTGTTAAAAACTTGGCCAAAAAGGCATTTGCGTAGTGTTGCGAGAAAATTCCTGAGGATTTTTTCACCTTTACAAACCAAAATTGGGCAGGTAATTTTTACATTTTCGGAGTCAGAAAAATTTTACGATTTTGTTGATATATGTCTCGACCTTGTAACACCTTGCCCCGTAGAAGTGCTTACCTTGTCAAATAGCGAAATTTAAATGCCTTTCCCTGTAACTCCATACCGCATAGAAGTACTTTCCTTGTAAAAATTGCTGCTTGGTCTTGATACACCATGGATTCAAAGTTGAAAGGAAATCCAAGCCGTAAACTTTGAGAACCTCCCTAACTCACATGAAACTTTAGGACAACAAGCTTCGCGTTGCCCAGTATCTGAAAGAGAACTTCCAAATCGAAATCAACGCCGCCTCCATCTTTGACATTCACGTCAAACGTCTCCACGAGTACAAACGCCAGCTCTTGAATGCGCTGCACATGATCACCCTGTACAATCGGATCAAAGCGAATCCGGAGAAGAAGGTGGTGCCTCGGACCATTATGGTTGGGGGCAAGGCCGCTCCTGGCTATCACACTGCCAAGCTGATTATCCGGCTGATCACCGGGATCTCGGAGGTGGTCAACAACGACCCGATTGTGGGCGATCAGCTGAAAGTGGTCTACCTGGAGAACTATCGCGTCTCCATGGCGGAGAAGATCATTCCCGCATGCGACCTGTCCGAGCAGATCAGCACCGCCGGAACCGAGGCGTCGGGCACCGGGAACATGAAATTCATGCTGAACGGCGCCCTCACCATCGGCACCATGGACGGCGCCAACGTGGAGATGGCCGAAGAGGCGGGCGAAGAGAACCTGTTCATCTTCGGGATGCGCGTCGAGGATGTGGCCACGCTCCAGAAGCGCGGCTACAACGCCTCCGAGTACATCGACAAAAACCCCGAGCTGAAGAAGGCTGTGGAGCAGATTGAGAGCGGGTTCTTCACTCCCGATCAACCGGACGCCCTGAACGAGCTGACCAATGTCATCAGGCACAACGATCGGTTCTATGTGTGCGCCGACTTTGAAGATTATGTGAGGACTCAGGAGAAGGTCAATGAGTTGTATTTGGTGAGTGTAGATAGTATGAGGTGTTAAGAGAGTATGATAGTAGTATCAGTCTGTCGGGAAAATAATGTGGATTTGTAGCAGCAGTTGCGCATCAATAGTTATCGCAAAGCGATGATGGAAATCACAAAACGCGGCAACTCCACATTATTTTCCCGGCAGACTGATAAAAATGTTTTCATAAAGTGCATGGACATTTTGTCTGCCCTGGGCACAAAAAGCCCCCATTTTGCACCGTGTTACTTTTTTCCAGTTTTTCGCAAATTTGCACAGTGCAAACGGCTTTTTTGAGGTTTGCACTGTGCGAAAAGAGAAAAATGCTCTGTGCGTTGGCGACAAGCATGGAAAAAGTTGAAAATTCTCTGTGGGAAAGAGAGCAGAAGTCCTTGCACTTTGTGAAAAATACTATCAATTTGTCGGGAAAATACTGAGCCCTCTGTCGCCGAGAAAATGAATTGTGTCGCGGCAAAATCAAATTGCTTTCCGCTTTAGCGCCGCTATCGGGACAGCCACATTCCGCTCATTATTTTCCCGACGGACTATTATGTCATCAAAAAAAAACTGTGTATGTCTCGTGTTTTAGGACCAAGACGCTTGGAACAGGAAATGTCTGATCAACATTGCCAGTTCCGGCAAGTTCTCCACCGACCGCACCATCGCCGAATACGCCAAGGACATTTGGGGCGTGGAGCCGGGAGCAATCCAACTCCCTCCGCCGTTCGAGACCCACAAACCGGCTGGCGATGACTAAAGACTTTACAGTTTAGCAGATTACCTTTTGTATCGATTGTTCAGATACGAGTGGATTACAGTAGATGTTATAAAGTTATATAAACGTTACACAATTTTGGAAGAACAGAAATTTCTCGCCTGCAACGGCAAAAAGAAAGCGGCAAAATCATCATTTTTTCGAGAGGTTACAAAGGAAAAAAAACAGCAGTTTATAGTCGATTTGAACTCTTTATTATTTCACAACGCTTATCTCTTAGCCTACGCTTTCACTTGGCCTCGTTTTATTCTCCAAAAAACAATTTAAAGACTCGTTTATCGCCTTCTAATTGCCCTTGATAAAAGCCGCGCCCTCTCCGATTGGAATGCTGTTATCGCTGTTCGAAGCCAACGATGATGCAGCAAACACATTGACATTGGTCTGGTAGTTGCAGACGCTCTCCTCGATCCCGTATTGTTTGGCCAAGGGCCAGCCGCGGAATGGGCCAAAGGTGCGGAAATCGCTGAAATCTTTGGAGGTTTCGGCGCTGGCGCCCGCTCCCAACGCGTGCCAATACCAAAGATCGTGGTTGGCGAAGAGCGGCGAGTTGCCGGTGATCTCTTTGTAGTCGTACCAGTTGGTGAAGAGGCCCACTTTGATCTTACGCACCTGAAAAAGTAATTTTTTTGCAAGATTTCTAGCTTGCGCCTTGCAGAAACAACCTGCAATTTTTATCTTTGAAAGAAAAATAAATTTTTTATTTACAAAAAAAATTTAAAAAAAAATTTTTTTTTCACAGATTTCCTTGAAATTTTTCACACACATTTTACGTAGACCATATATCAATTCCTCAAAGTTTTAGCTCGCACTTTGAAGGCAAAGCCGAGATATTCAACGATCTTTGCGGCCGAGAGAGTAGGCAAAATGCGGAGAGCGGTCAGAGGAAAATCCTTTTTGGCCATAACTTTGCTAGTTTCGTGCAGAAAAAATTGATTTTTTGTGGAAATATTACCCTTTACGGTAGAAATAGGTACGAAACTTTTCGTGGCGAAATTTGACAAAAAGTCTCAAATTTTCGCCGACTTTCGAACTAAAAATCTCTGTTGTTTCTGCAAAATCGCGATCTAGAATTTTCGCATATACCTTCGAAAAAATTGTTTTAAATTTGTGCCAAGTTTCTTCAAAATCTGAGCGTCACACTTGAGGTACTTCCTCTGTTTGATGCCCTCGTTTCCCTCTTTTTTTAACGTCTATTTACTCACCGACGCGGCCAAAACAAAGTCCTTGATGAAATTGACGTTATTGCCTTGAAAGTTCTCCCAGTTCACCGGCGAGGTCGCTTTGAGCCAGACTCGGGTAAGGTTGATTCCATGGCGCTGGGCGAAGTCGGCCACATCGTACAGCTGTTGAGCTGCATACCCGCCGAAAATCTTGGGGGTGACGAAAAATTCGATTTTTAGACCAGCTAAAAGTTTTACAAGCATTACCTATCACAAGCATTACTTGTCGGGAAAATAATGTGGTCTTATCGCGTCTTGAAATCGTCCAGCTACGCGGAGATTAAAGCGAGACATTTTGCTGCGAAGTCCACATTATTTTCCCGACAGACTGATATGAGTCTGTCGGGGAAATAATGGGCATTTTATGGCATCCAAAATCGCATTGCCGCAGAAAAAATAAATTTTTTCGCTGTAAAAATCAATTTTTTTTGATTCAGCGACATGATCGTCGCAGCGACATTGTGCTCATTATTTTCCCTCCAGGCTGATAAGTATAGTGACGGACCTGATCCAGTGGCAAAAAACGTACCATTTTGAGTCCGGGAAGTATCAAAAAATGTGGCAAAATACCTCCCTCTCCAAGTGAAAAAAACTTTAATAAGGGCGTGCCCTTCAAAACGGAGTTTTTTAGATGGACAGGGAGGTATTTTGCCACATTTTTTGATGCTTTCCGGATGCTAAATGGTACGTTTTTTGTCCTGCAAAAGGTCTATACGTATAAATCCTACCGTTATTCGCGATCTTCGCATTCTCCACGCCCGTCAAATCGTTGCCAACTCTGTCGGAGATCTGGAAGAAGGCGGCCGAAACTCCCCCTTTCTTCAGACAACTCGCGATTCTGTCCGTTAATTTGTGCGTGGAGTCGATGCCAAGAGCCGTTGGGGCTGAGTTTAACGGCAAGGCCGTCGCAGCGGCAATCAGTGCCGTTAAAATCAGGATTTTGGACATTTCTTGTTCTAAAAATTCGCTTCAAAAAATTCAATTTTAAATACGATAAATATTGGTGATAGACAAAAAGGGGCGGGGCTAAAAATAACCAAAAAAATAAAGATTATTTCTTGAAAAAAAATTAGTGATAAAAATTTGATGACCCATCTTTGACACGTTACCAACGGCATAAACTATAATAGAAGGGCTAGAAAACATTGAGGAGTGTGTGGCAAAAGGAAGAATTAGTTATCATGCCATTTTTTCAGACTAGAAAATATACGTTACGAACTTTTCAGGCACTCCCTTTAAGGCCTTAAGTCTTGGTCTTTGAAATGACGTTGAAATCAATAACAAATCTTCTTATTGTAGTTTGCTAAGTGATAAAAAAGATCGGCACGGTCAACGTTCGATATATGTATTTTTCGCGTCATTATTTTTGGACAATTTTTTGCCGTGGTTAAATTTGTGAAATAACTCAGGGTAAAGAAGGCTAACCTTATTAATAGCTAAACTTAGAAAAAGTAGAAAAATTGTAGGCCTTCCGCCAAGTCTCCGCCGAGCGTCCGCCGACCATCCAACGGCTTCGCCGGTCTCATAGACACTTCTTACAACCTTGTTTGGGCATTCACCTGTATTACGGACTGTATCGATCGATTTTGGCCCAATTTAACATCGATAAGGACACAAATTTTTATTGGACGCCCAGGCTGGATGTGAGTATCAAAAAATCCAAAAAATCCGAGTGCACTGTGCAAGATCGAGCAATTTTTGGACGCACTGTGCAGATGTGAGAAAAGTGGAATTTCCCGGAGTGCAATGCGCAGAATTTCTTGAAATTTTACAGACGCTCTCTCTATGCCCCACTAATAAATCGCTGAAAATTTGAGCGAATACTTTACAATGCCAGTTGAGATATTCAACGATATTTAAAGACCATGGCAAATTACAGTTGCGGACCTAATCCAGTGGCAAAAAACGGACCATTTTGCATCAGTGAAGTATCAAAAAATGTAGCAACATGCCTCCCTCTCTACGTGAAAAAGTTCCGTTTTGCAGGGCGCCTTCCAAATTCCCTCACAAAAAGATGGCGCGTTTTTGAAGTGAGACTTTCTTCACTTGGAGAGGGAGGTATTTTGCTACATTTTTTGAACTTCCTGGCTGCAATATGTTACGTTTTCTGCCACTGCATCAGGTACAGACCAAAATGAAATTTGCTTTTTTCTGATAATTCTGTTTTCGTCATTTCTGTTCTGGTTCGGAAAAGTCATATACAGCCATTTTCATCCTCTTAGAGAAGGGTTTGGCACGTTAATTACTCTATAGTTTATGGAAGAAATAAGCTTAAATTAAGTGTGTGATATTAAATTTTTATCGCTTTTTAATTTCGCTCTAAAACCTATCACAATTTTTTTTAATACCCTAGCTCCGCCCACTTTTTCATCGCTAATATTTATCGTATTTAAAATTGAATTTTTTGAAACCAATTTTTAAAGCAAAAATGTCCAAGATTCTGATTTTAACGGGATTAATTGCCGTTGCAACGGCAATCGAGTCCGATGGAAGGTTCGGAGCCGCACCAGCGGCCTTCGGCTTCGATTCGACGGACGCGTTAACGCCGGAGATTGCGGGTTGTTTGAAGAACAGTGGATATTCCGCGGCGTTTTTCCGAATCTTCTCTGATGGTCATGGTGATATGAGAGGAGTGGAGAATGCAGTGAAGGCCAGTGAAGGTGAGTTTTAGAGTAAAAAAAAACCAAAAAAGATCAAGAAATATCATTTTGAAAATTAAATTTTTTTAAACATTTTCGTGAAAAAGCATGTTTGACTTTGAAGGGTCATAACTCAACGTAGGATTGATCATTTTTAATGATCTTTTTTTTAAACAATGTGGCAACTACTAAGGAATAAAATGAGCTATTGCTCATAAAAATTGAACCATCCTATAAAAAGTTATAAGCATTTTACATCCGCGAACTTAGCTGAACCACCCTGTACATCATTATTTTCAGCCGGTATAAAACTCGAATTTTTCGTCACTCCTCGGGCTGTTAGAGGAGATGCAAAGCGTCAACTCGACCTCCTGGCTGATTTTGCGAACCAACAAAAGATCGGGTTGAAGAGAGTCTGGCTTCAGGTCACTTCTCCACACAATTGGCAAAGGATTTGGGGACATAACGTGGAGTTTATCAATGATTTCATCACTGCTGGAAAGGTAAGCCAAAAAAGTGTTCTTCTTTGTCATGTTACAAAAAAAAGTTTGTTCACATTTGGCCGAAATTTGGGCAAAGGTTTGTTTAGGTCATATCAGTCTGTCGGGAAAATAATGAGCACTCTGTCGGATCGAAAATCGCATCGCCATTGAGGAATTGAATTGTATCGCTGAAAAATCAAATTTCTTTTCACTACAGTGAAGCTACAGTGAGGGACCGGGTCCAATGGCAAAAAACGTCTCATTTTGCATCCCGGTAGGGCCCAAAATGTCTCCAAACCCTTCCCTTCTCTAACAATAAGCTAAAATCCCCGCTTTGAAGAGCCCGCCTTGAAGGAAAGGGCGCGCTTTTCAAAGCGGAGTTTTTTAGCCTAGAGAAGGGAAGGGTTTGGAGTCATTTTGGTCCCTTCCGGGATGCAAAATGAGACGTTTTTTGCTATTGGTTCAAGTCCCTCACTGTATCGGCGCAGCGACATTGAGCTCATTATTCTTCCGACCGAGTGAGAGATCACGACGTTTTCGAATGCCTATGCGAGTGAAATATTTTGAGAAAGTGTGTAGACATTTGTATCGCCATTTTTTCGCTTGAAGTTTTGCGATGTGAAATTGGGGTATCGCAATGTTCCTTCAACGATCTTTGCCGACGAGAGAGTATGAAAAATTAGGGGAGCTATTTTAAGACTAAAAGTCTCGCATATGCCTTATTATCAGCTTGTCGGGAAAATAATAAGCACTTTGTTGTATAAAAAATCGATCAGCGCCGAGGAAGTGAATTGCATCGCGGCGAACGCAAATTTCTTCTCACTCCAGCAACCCAATCGGCGCAGCGACATTGTGTTCATTATTTTCCCGACAGACTGATCATTTGACAGAAATCTTTTTTTTTTTCTTTTATACCGCTCTCTTCATTTTCCGTACTCCATTGGCCGCAAAGACATCTGAACTGCCAAGGGCCCTGAAAACCGCCTGAGGCGTCTTCACCTCTGACTTTCCCAAAACAAAAAATTTCAGGCCAGAGGAATCAAAGTCGGCCTTTTCACCAACTGGTACGACTACGAAGACATTACCGACCACTCTCGTCAAGTTCAAGCTGCCGAGATCTGGTATTGGCATGCCATTTCTGAAGGCCCGAATGGCGAAACTTCCAAGGATTTCCGCGATTTCCGACCCTTTGGCCCATTCAAAGGCTGGCCATTGGCCAAACAATACGGCGTTGAGGAGAAGATTTGCAATTACAATGCCAATGTCAATGTTTTCCCGGCGTCATCGATGAATTCGAATGGGGATAACAGTATTCCAATCGGGGAGGGCGCGGCTTTTGTCAAGAGCAATTGAAAATGTGTCAAACGATTTGTTAAATTGTTTGATAGAGAATAAAACGAGGCCAAGTTGAATTTTGGACTAGTAACTGTAAGATTTCAAATAAAAAATCAACCGTGAATTTGTCGGTTCCTTATGGTCTACAGCAACAGCCCTAAAAAAGCCTATTGCACGGTGCAAGGTGAACCGACATACACTGTGTTTGCTCACAGTGCATGCCGCCGAAATTTCGTATTTCAGCGAAGTTACGAACGAACTGTCAGTCTGTCGGGAAAATAATGAGCACAATAGCGCCGGTTGTGTCACTGAAGAAAAAAAATGGTTTTGCCGCGACACAATTCATTTTCTCGGTGGCGAAGCGAATTTCAAGGCGACAGAGTCCTCATTATTTTCCCGACAGGCTGACAAAGTTCAGATAATTTGCTCTGTGCGTTTGCCAATTTCTTTGCGGCCGTCTTCCCGTTATTATTATACCCAAACCACATATAGTACACCTTTTGCAAAGCGATCCCAAATTTCGCGAATAAATTTTTGGACTTTATACGCCCTGAGCAGTAATTTCAAGCTTCATTAGAACAACAAAGATATACTCTGATGACATGTGTATTAGTCTGTCGGGAAAATAATGAGCGCAATGTCGCTGCGCACGTCAAGAAAAAATAAAAGAAAAACGGGCGCCCAATGAAAAAGCCTAGTATTTTTTTTGGCATTCTGCCCGGTGCAAATCCGTTTTTGTCCAAATGGTTTGCAAGATTTTGACATAAAGATTAATAGTAAATCACAAGATATTGATACCAATAGAAAGCTCGAGAGTTGCTTAAGCTAATAGAACCAAAATATACCCATAATCATAGTATTTTGACAGTCTTCCAAGGCGAAGAAAACAACGTCTAAATAAAATTTTGTATCGACGATACCGAGTCAGAGAGAACTGGAAGGGGGTATAGGCTCCACGTCAAAAAAATCCTTAAACTATTCTTCGAGTATCTACATCGGTCTCGTCCCGCTTGATGGGACAGTTTTTTTGATATTCGGCCTTGAAATTTGCACTATTTTTAGCCTAGCTTGAACCGTGTTCAAAAAATGCGTTACGATGACACCCATTCAGAATGTGCCAGTGGTATAAAAAACAGTTGTATACGACTAGTAGTACTCCCTAGAGTTCCCATAAAAAAAATAGGTTAAACATTGTTGTTATGTGCGATTTGGATGACATATTTTATGAATTTTTTTTCGCTGTGAGAACCTTTGCAATGCCCGGAATTTCTTGACGTGCTGCGCCGACCGCGTCGCTAAAGTGAAAAGCAAAATTTGATTTTGCCACGACACAATTCATTTTCTCGGCGCCGATACGATTTCCGATGCCACGGCGCACAGCATTCCGAACTTTTTTGTGAGCAAAAAAATAAGAAATACTAGTTTTAAAGTCAATTTTTCCGGCCTTTGTAAGCCGCTAAAATCCCTGAAACTTGCATAATCTGAGAGAAGGACATGTGTTGTATCGCTTTGATACTTTTCCACACTTTATAACGCCACGTCTGAGGAACCGCTTGCTGTAAAAGAAGCATTACTAAAAAAAATTTTTCTTTTTTGTCACCGGATTTTGCTCACAAAAAAGTTTGGAATGATGTGCGTTCATTATTTTCCCGACAGACTGATAAGACGAGGCCATACCACCATGTTTTCAAATATATTTTTTTTTTGATTTTCCATTTATTCAATTGCTTCCCAACCTTTTAATCACTCAATAACAAAAACAATTCAATCTTTTTACTGTTTGGTCTTGTTGTCCTGGATCTGAACAATAGAAGCGCCCATTCCAATCGGGATGATGTCTTCGGCCCCGGCGACGGTCACTCCGCTCCCCGCGAACACGTTTTGGTTGGCTCTGTAGTTGCATGGGGTCTCGGCGACACCGTATTGTTTGGCGATTGGCCAGCCGGTGAAGGGGCCGAACGTGCGGTAGTCGTTGTAGTCGCGGGCGGTCTCGCCGTTGGAGCCGGCGCCCAGCACATGCCAATACCAGATCTCGGCGTTGGCGATGGCGCGCGAGTTGCCGGTGATCTCTTCGTAGTCGTACCAGTTGGTGTAGAAGCTCACTTTCACGTTGCGGTTCTGAAAAAAAGGGATGTGTAAGAGAGCTGTTGCTTTTGGCAATCAGTCTGTTGGGAAAGTAATGAGCAAAATTTCGCATCGTGGTGGCAAAATCAAATACATTTTTTTGGCATTCAAAATCGAAATTTCCATTTATTTAGTGATGATTTTCTCAACGCTAGCGAGCAACCTGAAGACAAAACTTACAAATTCTGAAAGGAAATTGATTGCTCTATAAAAACGCTTTTTGTTTTTGCCGGTATCCCTTCTGGCTACCCAAACACACAAAAAAATGTAATGGGCACTCCTTATTTTTTCATTTTTTTGAATACCCGAAAAAAGTTCGGAATGCTGCGCCACGCGACCGGCACAGCGAAAATTTGGTCATTATTTTCCCGACAGACTGATATTTCGTTGGTAAAGTTTTGGTAGTATGGCTCTGGGGCCGAAACTCCTGTCTAGTATGCATGCCAAGTTTCAAAGTGATTGCGTTATATTACCTTGAGATATGGGTGGTCAAAGATTTATGTTAGGGAGTATAAATTTTAATTACATACTTTAAAAAGTATGTAATTTCGGTGACATGCCTTGTTAAAAAATACACAGCGCAATAGCCCTTTTTTAGACTGCCCCTCTAACCCTGACTTTTACTGCTTTCAAAATCCTAAATGTTTAGTGATAACGACCCGCAAACTTACTCTTCCAGCTCTGACGAAGTCGTTGATGAATCGGACATTGTTGCTTTGGGATCTGTCCCAGCTGATTGGAGAGGTGATTTGCAGCCAGATTCTTGCCAAGTTGATGTTGTTCTTCTTGGCGTAGTCGTAGGCGTCGTAGAGCTGACGGTCGGCGTAGCCTTGAGGGTTGGGTGTAATGAAAAGCTCGAATTTGAGGCCGGCTAAAAAATAAAAATAAGCAAGAGAAAGAAAATAAGCTAGAAATGAATCATTGAGAAGTCTAGATGAGTAAAATGAAAATTAAAATAATTTAAGTTTGCTAACAGGGGAAGTAACCCAAGTTCCACGCTCAGATTTTGATGAAACTTGGAAAAGATATATGCGAGAGTCTTTTTTTCGCACGAAACTGGCAAAAATACGGAAAGTGTTTTTCGTTCTGACCGCCCTTGGCATTTCGCGTACTCTCTTGGCAGCAAAGTTTGTTGAAGTCTTCTAAGCGTGAGCTAAAATTTTTAGCAATTTATAAGCGGCCCCTGCCCAAAGCGTGTGCAAAGTCTCAGCGTCGCGAAAGCCTTCCCTTTTAGGCTCTCTAAATCTCCCCTCAACTCACCGCGGTTAGCCTTGTAGGCGTTGTCGACGCCAGTCGAGTCCACCGTGGCCTTGTTGCCCACGCGGAAGAAGCCGGCGAAATATCCACTTCTTTTCAAGCAACTGGCGATCGAATCCGTCAGCGGATACGTCGAATCCACTCCGAACGCCGCCGGCGCCGCTCCGAACGTCGCATTCGAGGGGAGGGCGCTCGCAGCGCTGACTAGCAGAGCCAAACAAACGAGTTTCGACATGTTTTTGGGTCTGATGCAATCGACGAGACGGCCGCTTTATATAGCCAAAAGTTTTTTGGAGGGAGAGGCGGTCAAACGGTTAATTAAGGGCCCCAATGTTTGACTTGTTTTTCGGGCTTCCGGTGATAAGCAGCACAATGGGTATTGTGACTCGTGCCGACCACTCCCTGGATTGATTTTGGAGCTTTCTGGAGGCAGAAGTGCAGTTGGTTGGGATCTGAAATTGGCACTATTAGTAAGTGGACAACGTTATAATCGTTTGATACCTCAGCGGCTCCTCCAAAGCGCGAGCTATGGAGGAGCCACATTTTTTCAGCATTTGTTATGTGGTTATATAGCCATAGTATACAAGATTTAAAGAGGATCAGAGCTTCACTTTAGACTCTTCACTTGTCAGTTAACAGTCTGTCGGGAAAGTAATGAGCACTCTGTCGCATCGAAAATCGCATCGTCGCCGAGAAAATGAATTGTGTCGCGACAAAATCAAATCGCTTTTCAGTTGTTCTGCAACGTGAAGACATTTGTGCTCATTATTTTCCCGACAGACTGATAACTGACAAGTGAAGAGTCTAAAGTGACGCGTAGACATGGCTAGTGGACCGGGCCGAACGAGTTTTAAAGGCCCGGGGCAGGGCCGACCGGGGGCCCCCGCCAGGCCCCCACTCGGCCCCCAATGACTAAAATTCTCAGTCTCAAAGCGAAAATTAAGGTTTCCAATAAAAATAAAATGCAGAGCCAAGAAGCGATTGGGTTTTTTTAAGTACTTTAGGCAATGGTTGGTCATTTTTTGTTTCAAAAATTTATGGTCTAAGGTAGTACAACCCCCCCCCCCCAGCCCTCCCCAGGGGGCCGGGCCGGGCTGAGAAAATTTGAAGGGGGCCGGGCCGACCTCTCCCGGCCCCCCAGCCATGTCTAGTGACGCCCTGATCTTTTTTAAATCTTGCACAAAGACGAGGTGTCCTTAAGGTTAGGAAAAAAATTATTTTTTGGGAGAGCATTACCTTCTACGGTAGGAACAGGCATGAAACTTTTTATGCTAAAATTTTTAAAAACCGGACACATTTTTGCCCACTTTCATTCAATAAGCTCGGCCCATCCTTGTAATAATAATGTGCCAAGTTTCATCAAAATCTGTGCGACGCTCTTGGACTACTTTCCCTTCTGGATCAATTTTTCTTTTTTTTCCAAACCAAGAAACCTCTCCCTCTCGTTTATTTACAGGAGTGCCCATCCGGTCAAAAAACCAATCAAGGGTAGATAAAAAAAACTTTACGACCATACTTGTACCCGAAAGGGATAGCCGTTTGAAGGTTTACTCCCTGCTTTGTATATGATTCAACGATGACCCTTCGTTTCGAGAAAAGAACGTCGGTGTGATAAAAAGAAGTTGATTCATAGTTGTTTACGGTCCATTCACTGACCTTTGCAGGGTAAATATAGAAACTTTGGAAATGCTATAAGGCTTTGTTTATTTCCTGAAGTTTCAAAATTTGCTGCAATGTTTTGTCCAAAGCGTAAAGCACGTTATGTCAGTCAACAACAAGACAAAATGGGGAATATATTAGACCTGTTCGCAAAATCGCTGGGTTTCTTTTTGGTGGACTAGTCCCATCCAGAATAGACTTGGCTGCCGGGCTGGGCCGGCCCGGGCCGGTGTTCAGGCCGGGCCTCAAAATAAACGTAACCGACATCCTTAAAAACACAATTAAGAAGTTGTGTGAAGCAACACTATCATCTTTAAGTTGAAAACCTTGATAAACGTGGTTCCACGTTTGCTGAATCTATAAAATTGATCTTGGGGCAATTTTTAATAGTCTGAAAACGGATCTCGGGAATTTTTTTGAAAAATTTTAAAAAGGCAATGCGTTGAGAAGTAATTTTTTGCTTTAAAAATGTACTGTTAGTTGTTATAGTAAAGAAAAATATGTCACAACTAATAGCGAATTAAGGATTTTTACTTCTTCTCAATTTTCGGGCCGGCCCGGGCCGGGCCAGGCAGAAGAAAAATTGAAACGGGCCGGGCCGACCTCTTCCAGCCCGCGGGCCGGGCCGCGATTTTCGGCCCGGCCCGGCCCGAGAGCCAAGTCTAATCATGAGGTCATCACCGATAGGAAAGACGTCCGCCGACTTCTCCGCCGGAAGCGCGACTTCTTCTCCAATGCTGGATTCTGTTGAAGAAAGCATCCTCCATAATCTCCGACCATTGTAGACAATTCCACTGCAAGATCTCTAAATTTTCCTGCAATTTTTCTCCAATTATTGCTCATGCATTGCCTATCCAGACCTCATAATTACTCCAGTTTTTTACGATTATTTTCAGGTGCGCCTTTCAATGTTTTATTGAAATTTATCATTTCCTTCTTCTTCTTGTTATCAGTATTTTTTACAATCGAATTCTTGAAAGGATAGGAGACGAAAGGCCAATTATACCTAATGAACAATCGAAAAGCAGACACTATTATTCTGTTTTGAATTGATTATTAGCCGAAGATGATTCATAAAGGTGAAGAAAATTTGTTGTGAAGAAATGAAACATAAAAAAATAATGAATTGGATTTATGTATTTTTTCAAAATATTGAAAAACTTCGATTTCAACCTGACTTCTAAATCTTGCCAACTTCCTGAATATTTAGAAAATTGGACTTCAAATTGATAGCATTCATGAAACGGGCAAATATCATGCTCTTTGAAAGGCAAAAATATGACCTTTATAATCTCACTCGGTAGCTCAAACAGCAGGACGGCCGACGCGGCGGCGGCGCCGCCCGCGTAGTAGGCAATAGCGTTGCGGCGGAGATGTGGCCAGGGGTTTAGTTTGGTCTGCAACAAAAAAATCGGGTTTTCTGTTTGCAAACTTACTGCTGTGGGGTCCAGACGGTTTCTGACGCTTGCGGTCGCCAGCCACAAGTGCCCAATAAATGTTGCCACCTTCCCCACAAACACTATCGCCTTGCAATCAACCCAGATTACAAGGCAATCAATCCAGATTGCAAGGACGAACCCAAAAGACGCCAGAACATTGACAATGTTGGCGGACATCTCCATTGAAGGCCGTCTTTTCTGCTTTATTGGCAGCCTGATGGCCAACATCAGTGAGATGATGGCCAAACCCTAAAATCAAAAATATCAGATAGAATTTCGCTTTGTTTCTTACCGTGACGACGATGGTCGGTCCATTGCTGATGATCTTGTTCATGTGTTTTCTGTCTTCCGGATTTTTTGGCCAATACCCCTCCAAAGCGAGGTAAGCATCGGCTATACAGCCCGAAAAAGACCGTCAGAACGACTCCGGCGACGCTAAGACCGTCCTCGAAGTACAGGAGACGGCCCATCCAGGCCATTAAAAAACGTTTTTGCTTATTGTTAGAAAGTGGAAATTTAAATGCTCAACAACATACAAAAGATTACTGTTATAAATGGAGCAGAAAAACACGGAGAATTTAATAATACAAAAATAATTTGAATGCTTGAAAAACTTTTGTGAGGACCTACCTATGAAAAAAAGAATATATAATTTTAAAAATCGCTGTTTTCGCGACAACCGATACGATCATAATTGGTCGGCTCGCGAAACTCTACCAATATTTTTGAAAACTGTTAAAATTGCTGCTAAATTATCAATACGTCGCTTTCATCGGCGTTAACAAAGCATTTCCCCTCGTTTCGTTCTTTCTACTACTATACTAGCCCGTTCACAAAGCTGCTGGAGTGATTTTTGGCGTTTGCACTGTGCAGAAAAAGTTCAGGTGCGAGACTACTTTTGACCCGGGTCCTTCTTTCCCCAACCGACTGATCGCTTCAATCTTGATGGTCAATGATGGCTTTTTTGAGCAAGAATTCAACTGTGCTTGTTAACAAATGAGATTTGCTGTAATTGCCAAAATCAAAAAAAAAATATATATATATATATATTCCAGTTGTCATCAAAATTGTATCTTGCTTTTGAAATGCGGGAATTTATTTAGTATAATATAAGCTTTTCAAATCAGTTCTCAACGCTTCGCAGCTCCTTAATGATCAAAGCTCCCTGTCCAATTGGGAGAGAGCTGTTCGCATCGCTTGTGGCCCCACCTCCAGCGGCAAACACATTGACGTTCGCTCTGTAATCGCACGGAGCTACGGCGATCCCGTATTGTTTAACGACTGGCCAGTCGGAGAAGGGGCCAAAGGTTCTGAAGTCGCTAAAGTCTTTGGAAGATTGGCCGGCCGGCCCGGCTCCCAACACATGCCAATGCCAGAGATCGGCCTTGGAGATGGCGCGAGAGTTGCCCGTAATTTGCTCGTAGTCATACCAGTTGGTGTAGAAGCCGACTTTGGCGTTGAATCGCTGAAAGTTAAGGGTTGTGGAGAGAGAACGAAACTATAGACAGAAGAAATAGGCCAGTAAGACGTCTAATATTGCACATCAAATCATCGGATTTTTTTAAAAAATTCAACGTTTTCTCCCTTACAATTGCGGCCGTCACAAAGTCATTGATAAACCTGACGTTACTCGGTCGATCTTTATTCCAGTCCAGCGGATTTGTAACTTGAAGCCAGACTCTGTTCAGGCGGATATTACTCTTCTGCGCGTATACGAATGCGGTCTCCACTTGTGTGGCGGCCGACAGCGCTAGGGTTGGAGTCACGTACATCTCGAACTTGAGGCCGGCTAAAATTTATTTTTTTTGCTGCAACGAAAAGTTTCGGTTACCGTTGTTGGCTGTGTAGGCATTTCTCACTCCAATACCATCGGCGACACCAACATTTGAGAGCCGGAAAAATCCCGCTGTGAATCGGGATCTGGCCAAGCAGCCGGCTTGGGTGTCCGACAACAGCGATGCCGAGTCGACGCCGAAGGCAGCGGGAGCTGCGCCGAATGTCGCGTTCAGTGGGATGGCATGGACAGCGGTTGCTAGCAACACAGCCAAAGAAATGACGATGCGCATTGTTCTTGTTTAGCTGTACTTGATTGCCAGAAAATTCTTGCTTAAATAGCGACTTGCTTGGGCGCTGAGATTTGGTCAGGTCGAAAAGATCGGAGGCGTTTATCACAACTTCCCGATATTAAACTCTATTTTGGCGTCTTGTAGGGCGTGGTAGTCGAAAACGGACGCAAAGATTGCCGTAATCCTGGGCGTTGTCCTTGATTTGATTTCCTTATCGCCTGATTTAGTAATTGTAATATTACTGATATGCCGTGGGCAAGGTTTCGTCATCCTACAAACTACAACGTTTATTTTTACAGTGTCTTCGCAAATTTTTGAAGACGGTAAAAACTAGCTTCATATCTCGCAAGTTTCCAAGCCAAATTTGGTTATGATAAAGACGAGCCAATCTATGTTGCATGTATTACATTTCGCATCTTTGGTTGAATTCCCTATTCAATTTTTTTAATTTATTTCCTTTAGCATACAAATTACAAAGAATTGGTGATTATTCTGGAACAAACAGCCATTTGCCTTTCTTTCTTCCCTTCGGCTTTGGCGGAGGTTTCGGCAAACCGTAAACGTCGTACGGGAATTTTTCGGTCATCTCCAGCGGCACAATAATTCTCCCGGATTCCAGATTTTCAATTGGTGTCAAGGACGGATCTGCTTGAACGTAGGATGTTGGTTGGCCAGTTGGCGAGGCTAGAAATTGGATGGTAAAGATATTAGGTCGTCCAGAAAGTTTGTTCGTTTTTTTAAACTATTCTGTCGGAAAAATAATGAGCGCAATGTCGTTGCGGCAATCCCGTCGCTGAAGTGAAAACTAAACACTAATTTGCCAAGGAAAGTACTTTTATGGGGGCTCCTACTTTTTGACGGGACATGTCTCAAAAAATCAGAAAAAATGTGCTGATCAAGGATATATAAATCTTAGCTGCCCATTTTAGGTTTTTAGGGGCGAAAACTCAATCGGAAGTTGACCTAAAGCCCTTATGAACCCCTTTTCGCTTAATTTTTCACAGGTTTACAATTTTTATTTTGGCTTAAAATGATGTTTATTGAGTTTCTAAGACGTAATAAATCATTCTTGGCCCAAAAATTTATTTTTCCGACCTTCAACTTCAAAAAAGTTGATTCAGCCCAAAGGGGAAACCGAACCCGTGCGGCGTCCTCCCTCTAGATTCCCAAACTACGGCACTAGCCACTCGGCCACACCGCTCTCTTCCGAAGGAAGGGACCGACTGCGCTTTTTATCGTTTCGAATGCCTGCACCTTTTGTAGGGAAATTAAGCCAGTTTTTCGGCATTTTCATCCCTAAAAACCTAAAATGGGCAGCTAAGATTTATATATCCTTGATCAGCATTTTTTTTCTGATTTTTTGAGACATGTCCCGTCAAAAAGTAGGAGCCCCCATAAAAGTACTTTCCTTGTGAAAAATTAATTTTTCCATCGGTCATGCGATTTTTGCTGCGAATGAATGCTCATTATTTCCCCGACAGCCTAATATATAGTACTTCTAGACTCACGTTGAAGCTTCTGAGCTATGCCATTTTCATTATTTCCTCCACTATTTCCGAATTGCTGCACAGTGTGTCCGGCAAGCGGGACTGTCGAATACCCGGTATTCCACGAATCGCCCTGACCGGCGTTTCTCTGACGTGGCACTTCAACTGCAGTCTGCGGCGATGAGTAGCCAAAATAACCGTTGTTTGGTGCACTCACTGCAGTTTTTACTTGTTGATATCCGCCACCAATAACTCTTGGCTTGCGGTGTTCGAATCGCTGACCTTCAAGCGGACTTTCATACGGCCGACCGTAGGTCCAGTGGTCTGGACGCCGTACATAAGCACCTTTGTTTGACCATGCGAGTGGGCTCCGTCCATGTGGTTGTGATGTTGAAACTGGGGTCTGATAGGGCGGATAATCAAAGTCATTGGTCTGTTGCGCCACAATTTTACTTTGCTGTGGAGGTGCAACGATTTCAGGCTTACGATCCAGAACCACCTTGACTGGTGCTTGATAAGCCGAATAGCCATTATAATCGGTTTCCGGGTGCTGTACTACGTTCGAATGTTGATTATGTCCTTTTGCAGCCCTTACGTTTGGAGTGATATACTGTTGTCTTCCATAACCGTCTCCTTGCTGCTGTTCCGGTTGATTTGCAGCTGATGGGTGATTGTAATTCTCAAGAGTAAATATATCGTCGTCCTGGGGTTTAACGTGTTGCCTTGTTGCAAGTTTTCTGGCCGGAATCGACCCTTCACCGATATCTGCGTCATGCTTGATGTATTGTTGTTGATATGAGCGCGGCTGAACGTCCAATGCAGAGTGCTGAACAGAAGCGCTCTGTGCTTTTTGTGGCCGAGTGTCAGTTCGGTGTTTTCCATTTGGTAATCGGACTGAAGGATGATAAATCAAGGGACTTTCTTCTTCGCTGTCTGCAGTCAGATGACCGTGGAGCGGTTGGTGTTGCTCTGAACCCACCACTTCGATTTTTGGCTTTTTTTGATGGTGAATTACTCCAATCGTTGGCTTGCTTTGTTGATGAATTGATGGATTTCCATTTTTGAACTGGTCTTGATGACTATTTCGATCAATTTTGGTATAAGGATTGGGTTTCAAGGAATGTCCCGCCTCCAGTCCGATTCTTCTGTCGCTGGGCTTTCGACTTTTTATTCTTTGGTCATGTTCTTTGGATATAGTCGGTATACGGTAATGTTCTCTGGGTGTAGTCAGTATACGGTCATGTTCTTTCGTAGTCGGTATATTTTGATAAATTTCGGTAAAAGGATTGGGCTTGAGGGAATCTCGCGCCTCCAGTCCGATTTTCTTGTGGCTCGGCTTGCCAGCATCTATTCTTTGGTCATGTTTTTTCGGTATACGAAGTGATGATTCCTTCTCGCTTATAGCAGAAGCGCTCCTCACTTCAGCCGGTCTTGATCTGTGTATCGGTCTAGTTTCTAGCTCGCGGAACCTGAGCTTTGGTTCCGCTGCATTCACAGGCCTTTGTCTCGGGGATTCGAGCACAGTACTTTGGTCATCACTCGCCGTCGGGCGAACAAAATATTTCGGGGCCTTCGTATTTTCTGTTTTCTCCATGTTCAACTGGCTTAATGGTACTGTGGTCGGTGCCTTTTGTTGTAGTAAGTTTGGTAACGTATATAATTTTGGTGACAATTCCTCATCTTTCTCATGCTGATGAACTTGACCGGTTTGAGATGCTAAAATTTTATTGTAAAGTCGTTTATAACGCATAGACTCACGTTGAAGCTTTTGAATTCTGCCAGCTTCATTATTTCCTTCAGTATTTCCGAATTGCTGCACAGTGTGTCCGGTAAGCGGGACTGTCGAATACCCGGTATTCCAGGGATCGCCATGACCGGCGTTCTTGTGATGTGGCAGTTCAACTGGAGTCTGCGGTGATGAGTAGCCAAAATAGTAGTCTTCTGGAGTACTCACCGCAGGTTTTTTATTTCCCGAATGGCCCTGGCCAGGGTACTTATGAGATTTTTCGTTCTCCTTGTTCTTAAAAGCCGGTGAATAAGTGTTTGTTTCTTTTTCAATGAAACTAGGTGGTCTTGGGTTGAACCTGTTGTCTGAGTTTGCTGCCGGCTTTGATTGAGAAATGCGGAAGTCATCAGCGACAATCTTTGGTCGTCTATATAGACTGGCTGGACGTTTGTTATGGTTGGGCGCTATATTTAGAGTCTTTGGACGTTGGCTGGCATGCTTGGACTCTGCATTTAGTAGAGTCTGTGGACGTTCGCTAGCATGGTGGGAGTGGATTCCAGCTGTTGTGCCTGTCAAATCTCCGGTATTCCCTTCCATAATTGGTTTCTCAAATGTTTTTACGCGTGGATCATGCTTGAAGCTGAAGCTCGGCGAAGGCTGGCTCGCATTCTGTGGATGATGTCGGGTTTTCTCGGAGGTGTTTATTCTGTACTCATGAACTCTCGGGTCTCGGTGCTCGTTTGAATAGAACTGTGGGTTCTTTGTCCGGCGTTTCGTTGCATTTCGATCCGTTGTTGGATACTCGACGCGGCTTTGATGTGCTCTTGGTTGTGATATCCCTTTATCCGATTTGCTTGGGAAAACGTCCTCTGTATCTTTTTCTTTTGGACGCTGCAGCTTGTGTGGCGGCCGTCGTTGAGCTGGTTTCCGCGATTGTTTCACGTGCTGCGCAGTAGGATACGGTTCTGTGTGATCAAGACCATTGACCAGGTTTAATTGATGCTCTCTTGGCAATTCTGGACGAACTGAACGGTCTGTTATGGAGGCTGGAAAATCTTGGCTAGGTATAATATCTTTGTGAATTCGTGGATCTGCTTTCAAAGTCTTGCCAGCCGACCGACCAGGGCTTATTTTGTCTGGCCGTTCCGTCGTAGGCAAAACTCGCTTCACATTTAGAGATCTAAATTGACTCTTCTTGTCCGCCGTTGGCTCGGGATTCGTGATGATCTTTGTGGCTTTCACTCGTGGATCAGATATTTTCGGCTGATGGTTGCTGTGACGCGCGGGAGGCCTTGTGATTTTACCTCTACTATCCAAAATCTCTTTGAATGGAGACTGATTTGCCGAATAGCCATTATATTCCTGTTCCGGCCGCTGTACGACCGTAGAACGTTGAGTCTGTCCTTGAGGAGCCCTTAAATTTGGAGTGACATGTTGTGGTCTTCCATAAGCGTCTCCTTGATGTATACGAGCCCTATAACCAGGAGCTGCCTCATAATTTTGCTGGCTTGGAGAAGACTGATAAATTTTTGGACTGTCATGATGAATTTTGCGGTTTGAATGTGGTTTTACTGCAAAATCATCATATTCATGGCTTGTTGTGCGTTCCGACGAAATAGACTTATACGATGGTTTTCTACTGTAATGTTTGGGGTCTTCAGGTTTCAGATTAACATAATCCATACTTGCTACTCTAAGATCATGATGTCTAGGGTCACGGCGCTCCACGACTCTAGGATCATGACGATCTCTTAGTGGCTTGTTGATTTTGTTCACCTCGGGATGTGTTGCCTCACTTGGAGTAAGTAACTCGTCCTGTTTAGGGTCCAAGATGTGTCTATGCCGTTGATTTATCTGCCCACCTTTTCTAGGCATTCCATGTGTTCGTATCTCGCCTGCGTAAGGTTGAGGGTTTGTTGACACGCGACGCAATAAATACGGTTGAGCTGTGGCTTCGTCTAAGCTCCCGAGTCTTTTTCCGGGATCTACAGAATTTTCATCAGGACCTAGGAACGGTAAATCGTAGCGCGCGGCGTTTTTGTACGGACGATTCACTTCTTTTATCGTGTGATGCTCATCGTGATGGTCGTCGGTGAGTTTCTGTTTAAAGTCGTCTTCGTCCCGCTTCTTCTCGACCTTGTCAACGGTCTCCTGCAATTTTCTCTCCTCTTCGGCTCTCCTGTGATCCTCGTTTGCCAATTTCAAGTCGTCGAGGACGTGTTTCCTTCTATTCTCCTCTTGTTTCAACTCTGTTCGAGAATACTCATCATCCTCTTCGTGCGACTTCTTCTCCGTATGACTTTTCTTGATGTATCGGTGGCAAAGATCGCCCAGAACTTCAATCTCGTCCCTTGACAGCTCCTTATTTCGCTCCTTGTGGGCTTTGTCCTCTTCTGACTCCTCGTCGATCCGTTTCTCGGCCTCATTCGTCTCCTGATGCAGATGTTTCTTCGACTTATGATGCGACTCCTCCAATTTTTTGGACAATTCTTCTAGCCACTCTCGTTGCTTGGCAATCTCGAGCTTTGAGAGATGCTTATGTTTGTTCACTTCGGAATGCGCATCCTCGATCGAGCGCTCGTCCAACAAAGTTCGTTCGACTGGTTGTGAACCAGCGGGGCCGTAAAGTGTGTTGGAGTCGCTGAAAAAATGACCGGGATATATCAGTCGGTCGGGAAAATAATGAGCACTTTGTCGCAATCGCATCGCCGCCGGGAAAATGAATTGGTTCGCAGAAAAATCAAATTGTTTTTCACTTCAGCGATGCGATCAACGCAGCGGCATTGCGCTTATTATTTTTCCGGCAGACAGCTCGTGACCTATAAATCTTTGTATGTCCAGAAAATATGTCACAATGACGCGGGTTTAGGATATTCCTGTGATATAAAAATGACTGTATTCTGCTTGCAGTACTCCATAGAGCACGTCAAAAAATTTCGGGTTCTCGTCGCACAAAAATCCAGAAAATCCGTCATCCAAATAGCGAATTGCAAATGTTATGAGGTTAAAAAAATTTTCTGAGCACTCTAGAGAATAAGTCTAGCCATATACAGCCATTTTTTATGCCACTGGCACATATTAAAGCGATGTCATCGTGACATATTTTCTGGAGACACCGAGATTCATAAGTCCTTAGCCTGAACACGGCGACTGGAAACGTAAGAAGAACTGTCTACGAGACTTACTCCTCTTCGGGTGCAATCGGATCGCAATAAGGAATAGCCAAACCTTCCAGCTGTCTACCACCCACAACACAGAAAGCGTTCAACGAAGCGCCAAGTTCTTTTCGAATTTGATGAGGTTGTGCCAGTATAAGATCGTTCTGCAGTCGGCACGTTTCCAGCCATGATAGGCGTTGATTGTATTCCAAGTCCTAAATGAGACATGAATGAATTAACAGGGGAAGTGCCCCAAGTACGACGCTCAGATTTTGATGAAACTTGCCACAAATTTGGGTGAATACTTTCGATGAGACATGCAAGATTTCGAAAAAGCGCTTTGCAGAAACGACCGAGATTTTTAGGGTGCAAGTTGGTAAACAGAGTACCGTTTTTTACAAGACCTTTGCTACCGTAGAGAGATATGTTTCCACAAAAAAAAATATTTTTTCCGGAGCTAAACTAGTAAAGTTATGGCCAGAAAGTGTTTTCTCTGACCACTCTCCGCTTTTCGAATACTCTCTCGGCCGCAATGATCGTTGAATATCTCGGCTGTGCATGCAAAGCACGAGTTAAAATTTTCAGGAATTGATATGTATCCTATCCCCAAAGTATGTCCAGAATTTAACGAAAATCTGGACGTTGCACTTGAGCTACTTTCCTTGTAAATACGATCAAAAACTTACAATTAAAAACCGTTTGATTGTTCGGGCTTCCTGCGACATGGTGAGCAGCGCCGGATTGTGTCGGTCGTTGTTTTGAAACGCTTTCCAGCGGTACATTTGGGTTTGAAAAAGACGCTAGAAAAAAATGAATCATAAGTATCCGTCTGTCGGGAAAATAATGAGCACTCTTTTGCATCGAAAAACGCATCGCTGAATTGAAAAATGAATTGTGTCGAGACAAAATCATCTTTTTACTTCAACGACACGATCGGCGCAGCGACAGAGTGCTCATTATTTTCCCGACAGGCTGAAAACGGCTCGGGCGCAGCTCGGAGAAATTTTTTCTTCAAGTGCCCTAACTACGCCCATGCCGACAGGCTAACTCACTTCAGCGAGTCCACGATTGGACCTGGCGATATCATGCCGCAACTTCCTCAAAATCGCCGCCTTCGGCACGTTCGGCTCATTTATTCGCTCGAGGAACCAAGCATAATCGTCTGTGGAATAATGCCTTCGAAACACCTCATAGTCCTCCGGATCCACCTCCTCATAGCGATAATAGAGGGAGGCGTGACATAGTGGGAACAACACAATCGGAAATACAGCAAGACGCAGCCACGGCGATATCCGCATTTGCCCTTTGGGACCGTGAATGTGTAGATTGCGGTGACCGTTGTAGCAGAAAACTACTAGATAATGGAAGAACACTGTTCAACTCTATGTTATTGAATCATCCGGTATCGAAGAGGCCTCTCCGTATCAATGTTGTTTCAATTTTATGGGCGATAGTAAAGTTCCCTTTCCATCTTTCATATGCTAAACATGGTATTCGTCGTTGACCTTTTGGACATTTCAAACTTGGCTCTAATTTTAGCTTCGACGCTAATTATTAAGATTTTTACCATCCTAATTATCGATGTTAGAGTGATAATTAGCACAAACATCACTTACAAATCGAAAATTTGTTGATTCAGAATTTATTACGATTCTTGTTTACTGCTGCATTGTTATGATAAAGCAATAAAAACCCACGCATACCAACGGCCATGTCCTTGTTTCTTCCATTTCCAACTCGTTGATCACTTATGCAAAATACAGAGTGTATCAAAAAATATCGCGAATATCGTTGTGCTCTTTGCAGATATCCAAGAAATTTTTAAATTTAAAAATTGCTTATAAAATCAGAAATTGTGCCGCATTTGAATACGCAAAAGAAGTTTTTTCCGCCTCGGCGGAGAGGCCATTTTTTGGCGGAGACATTTTACGAGGGAATGGTCTCAATTTTTCCCCGGCGTTTGGGAAAATGTCAAGTACAGGGGCCAATGCGCTATCTGAAAGTTAGCTGATAATGGTAGGGGCAGCTCGGAAAACTGGCACGGGCGCAGCTCGCATCTCGGGGCAGCTCGAGAAGAAGCTTTCGCAGCTCGCCGGAGCTAGGTTTCAGCTTGTTTTCGAGCTGCGCCCAGGACGCGAAACGCGCCCGTGCAAGTTTTCCGAGCTGCGCCCTACCATTTTCAGCTAACTTTCAGCAAACCTTAGCGCATTGGCCCCAGGTGAATAGAGCAAGTCGATTTTTGTAAAAAAAGGCATTTTCCAGCTGCGGAATAAGCCCGGCGGACAAAAAATTCCAAAAAAATTCGTTTTTCTCTTCCCTTGGAAATGAGTGTCCAGTTATTCGGTTGGCCGCGTGGATAAAGCGTTTCGGATTTGAAACCATGTAGTTTTAAAAAATGTATTATTAAATATTATATGTACTAATAAAACATAATGATCTAACTTCGACGCAACCCGTATCCTTCTTCCGACCTCACTTCAAACTCTTCAGGCTCACTGTCTGATTCACCTCCTCTCTGCGATGATATCCGTGCGTTTGCATTGTCCAAAATGTCAGCTTGACTTTCTTTTTGACTGAAAGAATGAATAGTCAATTCACAAGCGGAGTACTCCGAGTGCGGCGCTCAGATTTTCTTTAAATTTTGCACACATTTCGGGCATGAATCACGTATCAATGCTTGAAAGTTTTAGCTCGCACTTTGCAAGCGCAGCCGAGGTATTGAACGATCTTTGCGACCGAGAGAGTACGCGAAACGCGGAGTGCGGTCAGAGAAAAAACACTTTTTGCCCGTATCTTTGCCAGGGAAAAAATTGCTTTTTTGTGAAGATACTACCCGTTACATTAGTAAACTGTATGAAATTTCTGATTTCAAAATTTGTAAAAAAAAGTGTCAATTTTTTCCAACTTTTGATCTAAAAATCTCGGTAGTTTCTGCAAAGCGCAAGCTGGGAGTCTCGCATATTTTTAGAAAAAAAATAATCTGTATGTATTAAATTTCATCAAGAACTGAGACAACTTACGGTTGTGTCCGAACAGTGCACCTGAAACAAACAGTGCACCTGGCTGAACGGGGCACCTGAGCGAACGGTGCACCTGACACATTTTGAACTGTGCACCTGGGCGAACGGTGCACCTGGGTGAACAGTGCACCTGGGCGAACTTCGGGACTGGGAAAAAGGATTTTTTTGGAAAATTTTAATAAAATTTGAAATGTTTTCGCTTCGGGACAGGGAAAAAGGAGTTTTTTGGAAAATTTTTAAAAATTTTGAAAGGTTTTCGCTTCGGGACAGGGAAAAGGGAGTTTTTTGGAAAATTTTAATAAAATTTGAAAGGTTTTCGCTTCGAGACAGGGAAAAAGGATTTTTTGGAAAATTTTAGTAAAATTTTGAAATGTTTTCGCTTCGGGACTGGGAAAAAGGATTTTTCATGAACAATTGAACAAAAATTGAAAGGTCTTCGCTTCGAGACAGGGAAAAAGGATTTTTTTTGGAAAATTTTAGTAAAATTTTGAAAGGTTTTCGCTTCGGGACTGGAAAAAAGGATTTTTTAGGAAAATTTTAGTAAAATTTTCAAAGGTTTTCGCTTCGGGACTGGGAAAAAGGATTTTTCATGAACAATTGAACAAAAATTGAAAGGTCTTCGCTTCGAGACAGGGAAAAAGGATTTTTTTTGGAAAATTTTAGTAAAATTTTGAAAGGTTTTCGCTTCGGGACTGGAAAAAAGGATTTTTTAGGAAAATTTTAGTAAAATTTTCAAAGGTTTTCGCTTCGGGACTGGGAAAAAGGATTTTTTTTGGAAAATTTTAATAAAATTTGAAAGGTTTTCGCTTCGAGAAGGGAAAAAGGATTTTTTGGAAAATTTTTAAAAATTTTGAAAGGTTTTCGCTTCGGGACTGGGAAAAAGGATTTTTCATGAACAATTGAACAAAAATTGAAAGGTTTTCGCTTCGAGACAGGGAAAAAGGATTTTTTTTGGAAAATTTTAGTAAAATTTTGAAAGGTTTTCGCTTCGGGACTGGGAAAAATGATTTTTTTTGGAAAATTTTAATAAAATTTGAAATGTTTTCGCTTCGGGATAAATATGGCAAGGGTAGATCAAGGAAAATTCTTTTGACGGATTTTTTTTATATGACAAATGGGGATCAAGGTAAGCCGTTTTTACTGATTTCTTTGTTTGTGAAAAGCTAGAGATGAAAGGGGAGATCAAGGCAACTTGTTCTGACTAATTTTTCGTCTGTGAAAAAAATGTTATTCCAATAGGGATGTTGCCGGTGCGCCACAAAAATACGAACAGAACCTAGCAAACCTAAAAATAATCAGATGTAAGTGTAGTTCTTTCGTTTCTTACCGTTTTACTTTCTCCATGGGAAACACGACGCTCCTTGCAATCTCTTCAATAATTTTTTCGGATCCACGAGTTATGATCTCATCTCTGGCTACATCAGAGGCCCGACGTTTTGGCATTGCCTGATTTGTCAAGATTGGAAGGATGTTTAGTCCCTGCTTTTCAAGATCACGCGCTATTAACTCAATGAATTTGTTGAGCGTTGTACTTGAGCTTAAGATGGCATTCCATTCATTATGCTGCCCCTCATTTATCTTTTTACAAACAAAAAAATTGTCAAAAAAAGCTTACCTTGATCTCCCCTTGTCATATTTAGTTTTTCACAATGAAAAAAATGATAAAAACGGCTTACCTTGATCCCCCCTTGTCATATTTATCTTTTCACACACAAAAAAATCAGTCAAAAAGCTTGCTTTGATCTCCATTGTCATATTTACCTTTTCACAAAGAAAAAATGGTTTTTTTTCCTTTTCCGAAGCGAAAACTTTTCAAATTCTTTTCAATTATACACAAAAATTCCTTTTTCCCTGTCTCGAAGCGAAAACCTTTCAAATTTTATTAAAATTTTCCAAAAAAATCCTTTTTCCCTGTCACGAAGCGAAAACCTTTCAAAATTTTAAAAAATTTTACAAAAAAACCCTTTTTCGTGGTCCCGAGACGAAAACCTTTCAAATTTTTTAAAAAATTTCCAAAAAAATCCTTTTTCCCTGTCCCGAAGCGAAAACCTTTCAAATTTTAAAAAAAAATTTCCAAAAAAAATCCTTTTTCGTTGTCCCGAAACGAAAACCTTTCAAATTTTCTTCAATAATGCACAAAAAAACTTTTTTTCAAGGTGCACCATTCGCCTAGGTGCACTGTTCAAACAAGAAAATGTCAGGTGCACCGTTCAGCCAGGTGCACTATTCACCCAGGTGCCCCGTTCAGCCAGGTGCACAATTCGTCAGGTGCACCGTTCGGACCGAATCCAACTTACGACACTTTTCTGTATTCCTCATACGAACTCGTTTCGAAAGTTTCACTCGAGTCACTTCCGCTCTCAATTCGTCCTACTTTATATTCCGCTGAGGTCGTTTCCAGGCTCTCCTCACTGTCTTCATGCTTGCCACAAATACAGTGCGGCTTCTTCTTCAGCCCCAACTTTCTTTGTTGGTCTGATAGGCAGCAAGCTCCATGATGTTTGTGTGATGATGATGTTTCCAGACCTCTAGAAGACAGTTAGACTGAGCGGTCGTTTTGTATTAATATTTTCATAAAGTGCATGGACATTTGTCGCGGTCATCACGGTGCATAAAAGGACCGCCATTTTGTACCGTGCATTTCACTTTTTTCCTGGTTTTTGCGCGATAAAATATCGCTGCGACTCAAGCAAGTTTCATCTACAGCGTAAAAATTCAAAATGCACTGTGCGTTAGCGACAAGCGAGGGAAAAAAGTTGGAAATGCACTGTGCAAAAGCGAAAAAATGTTGTCACGCTCTGCACGGTGCACAAGAAACCCCCGACCTTGCACCGTGCATTTCATGTTGTTTTTTTGCACTGTGCGGTGAAATATCGCTGCGACAAAAGCAAGTTTAACTGCGTTGCCGCGGTTTTGCTGAAGAATTTTGGAGCAGTAACTTTTTTGAGGTTTGCATGGTGCGAAAAAGTTCAAACTGCACTGTGCATTGGCGACAAGGAAAAAGTTCAAGATGCACTGTGCAAAACCAAAAAAATGTCCATGCACTTTATGAAAATACCAATAGTTTACCTGCTTTTAATCTCCGTCGAATCCACTTTAACAATTTCGTCAGAGCCACTGCATTCCCCTCCAGGCTCTCCCATTCTTCTTGCATGCCTAAAGAAACACACTTTAATTGAATTCAAGGCTATTTATTTCTGTAAGAATATGAGACAAATACAATGAAGAGCATTTTGACGGTTTGAAAACATTCTTCCGCGACTTAAGCGTGTGCAAGTGCATTTTTGGGTGCTTTCCTACGGCGAGAAAGTCAATTTAGCGTTGCGGACTTACCGATCTTTCTTTTCGTTGGAACTGGAGATTTCAAGGATTTCGTCGCTTTCCTCTGAAGCTGCTTTCTTTGTTTTCCCTGTTTTCTCTTTTGTTTTCTGGCTTACTGAGGTAATTCGTTCTTCTTTTGGGGATTTTGTGCTGTAAGTTAAAGTTACTGTAAGTCTGTCGGGAAAATAGTGGACAGACTGATATTAGCCTATTTCAATACTTACTCAGTGGGCTTTCGCTGTCCCATTAGCCTTGATATCCCGGAGTTTTCTCCATGACTTTCGGCACTTTGAGGTATGTGAGTTCCAGTTCGATGCTCCTCCTTGTTCACTCGTTTTTCTTTTATTTCGTGCGACGTAACATCAAAGGTTTCGTCGTCCTCTTCTGAGTGAGTCTTTAATTTATTTCCCAACTCTCCACCTGAGGTTTTTACAACGTGTGTGCGCTGTGCCGGCTCAGTAATGCTGTCTTTTTTTGTCATTTTCTGTTTTTTAAAAGCTTCAATTCCTCGCGACTTCTCGTTCTTTGTAGCCTTGATGCTGTTTTCATTCTTCTTCTCATTTTGGAGCCTCGCTTTACCCGCTACTGTAATATCCAGAATTTTGTCTTCATTTTCTGCCGACCTTTCCGAACCGGCACGAGTTCTATTTTTCGCTGAAGTCAACAGGGTTTTAGGTCTATCAGTTGCTTCTGGAAAGCTCTTCTCTGAGTTGGTCAAACTAAACTTGTCCTTGATTTGACGTCTCGTCTTTATTTCTAGTAATTCGTCACTCTCGTTCGGACCATTTTTGTCCTTTATAGGCTTTGTCTTCATTGTTTTCTTGTCATCTACTGTTTCCTGCTCATTGAAATGTTGGTTCTTTCCGCCTTTGCTTTTTTCGCTTGATACTGACAAGTCCAAGACTTCTTTGCTTTCTTCATAACTTCCCTGACTATCTCTTAGCTTTCTACCACCGGACGCCTGGAGCTTAGAGGTCACGTTAACGTGATGTTTTCTGCTTATTCCCAGCTCTTCCTGACTTTCAGGTGTTTTATGATTCTGTATTGGAACTCCCAGTTTGGAAATGGTAGTCTGGAGCTCCATCTTTTTTGTCTTCTTGCTCTCTCCCGTTGATGGCATACTTTCCTTTCCCTTCGAATGGTGGTTATCGTTCTTTCTGCCTTTGCTTTTTTCAGTTGATACTGACAAGTCCAAGACTTCTTTGCTTTCTTCATAACTTCCCTGACTATCTCTTAGCTTTCTACCACCGGACGTCTGGAGCTTAATTGTGCCATTAATATGATGTTTTCTGCTTATTTCCAGCTCCTCCTGGCTTTCAGGTGTTTCCTGCTTCCGTATTGGAGCTCCCAGCCTGGAACTAGTATTCCTGAGCTCCATCTGTTTTGTCTTCTTGTTATCTGCTGTTGTCGGCATAACTTTAGAGTGTTGATTCTTTCTGTCTTTTCTTTTTTCTCTCGATACTGACAAGTCCAAGACTTCTGTGCTTTCTTCATAACTTCCCTGACTATCTCTTAGCTTTCTATCACCGGACGTCTGGAGCTTCGAAGTCACATTTATTTGATGTTTTCTGCTTATTTCCAATTCGTCCTGACTTTCAGGTGTTCTGTGATTCTGTGTTGGAGCTCTCCGTTCGAAACTAGCATTCCTGAGCTTCATCTTCTTCATTTCCTTATTATCTACCGACGTACTTTCTTTTTCTTTGGAATGTTTGTTATCGTTCTTTCCGTCTTTGCTTTTTTCTCCCGAAACTGACAAGTCCAAGACTTCTTTGCTTTCTTCGTAACTTCCCTGGCTATCTCTTAAATTTTTTCCTCTATCGATAGACAATCGCAGCTTAGAGGTTACATTAATATGACGTTTTCCGCTTATTTCGAGCTCCTGGCTTTCAGGTGTTTTTTGATTCTGTATTGGAGCTTTCTGTTCGAGACTAGTATTCTTGAGCTTCGTCTTCTTCATTTTCTTGTTGTCTACCGACGTACTTTCTCTTTCTCTAACATGTTGTTTATCATTCTTTCTGCGTTTGCTTTTTTCTCCTGAAACTGACAAGTCCAAGATTTCTTCGCTTTCTTCGTAACTTCCCTGACTATCTCTTAACTTTCTACCACCAGGCGTCTGGACCTTAATTGTGCCATTTATGCGATGTTTCCTGCTTATTTCCAGCTCCTCCTGATTCTCAGGTGTTTTCTGCGTCCGTATTGGAGCACCCAGCTTCGAAATAGTATTCTTGAGCTCCATCTTTCTCGTTTCCTTGCTATCTACCGTTGAAGGCATACGTTCCTTTTTATTTGAATGTTGACTGTCCTTATTGCTGCGCTTACTCTTTTCACTTGATACTGACAAGTCCAAGACTTCTGTGCTTTCTTCGTAGGTTCCTTGACTATCTCTTAACTTTTTCCTACCGGAAGTCTGGAGCTCAGAAGTCACATTAATATGATGTTTTCTGCTTATTTCTAGCTCCTCCTGACTCACAGGTGTTTTATGATTTTGCATTGGAGCCCTCCGCTCAAAACTCGAATTCTTGAGCTTCATCTTCTTCATTTCCTTATTATCTACCGACGTACTTTCTTTCTCTTTGGCATGCTGGTTATTGTTCTTACTGCGCTTGCTGTTTTTACTTGATACTGACAAGTCCAAGATTTCTGTGCTTTCTTCATAAGTTCCCTGACTATCTCTTAACTTTCTACCATCGGACGTCCGGAGTTTAGTGGTGCCATTTATGTGATGTTTTCTGCTTAATATTTCCAGCTCTTCCTGACTCTCAGGTGTTTTCTGCTTCCTTATTGGAGCTCCCAGTCTGGAACTAGTAATCTTGAGCTTCCCTGAAGCTGAAGCCTGGTGATCATCATGTTCTGAGCTGACTTGATGCGAGGAGGTGGAATGCGAGCCACCAAGTCGTTTTCTTTTTATAGTTTCCAGACTTTCGGTTTCAGAAGGAATGCCTTTACCGTTACGTTCCATTTTGTTCTTACTCTTTATTCCTTCCTTCTCATTTGATGCGGATATTTCGAAGACCTCTTTACTTTCATCTTGAGTTTTGCTGTCATGTTCACGCATTGGCTGATGGCTGATTGGCAAGTGATCATCTGGAGTCTGTATGCTACTACTCGATTTCTTTTTATTTTTCTGCCGTGATTCGTTATTTTGGTCTGCACTTGAGCCAGTGACATGTATCTTTGTACTGATTTGGCTGTTGCGAGCCCTCTGTTCTTCCTCTTTGTCATGTGGCGTGTTTGTGCTCTTGTCTGGCTTTAGCTTTGCAGAATCCTTTATCTCATTGGACTTTGACTTGTCTTTCTCCTCCTTGCTTGCTGATTTCATCAAGCTTCCATCTCGTTCTATTGATCTTGCACCACTTTTTTGGAAAGAAGATCCAGACGCTTTCCTTGATTGCGTGTTTTTATTGCTTTGAGGGGCGACTCGCCCAGTTCCCTCATGTTTTTCGGTCGATGAAGGATGTGATTTGTAGATTGCTTTGTTACGAGCTTCTTTGCTCCCGGAGGGATACAATTTTTCCATTTTCTCTTCAGACCTTTCCAGGTGCTCATCGTTTCTGTCCTGGGTAGTAATCTTCACAGCTGTCGCTGCAGTCTTTGTTGAATCAATGTTTTTTGAAGCAGTTTCACTGGAAGAAGTTCCAGACACTCTCCTTGATTGGGCGTTTTCATTGCTTCGTGGGCTGGCTCCCTCATGCTTCTCAGTCGATGAAGTATGTGATTTATAAACCTTGCTATCCAGATGCTCATCGTTTCTATCCTTGGTGTTGATTTTAACAGCTGTCGTTGCATTCTCTGTTGAATCTGCGTTCTTCTTTTTAGCTGCACTCTCGAGAACTTCGTTAATTGGCCCTTCTGTCATGTCTTTTCGTGGGATTCGGCCTTCAGACCTTTCCAGATTTTTGTTATGCTCATCGTTTCTATCCTTGGTATTGATTTTAACACCTGTCATAGAGGTCTTTTTTGAATCTACGTATTTCGTTTTAGTTTTCCTCTTGAGAACTTCGCTACTTGGCTCTTCTGTCCCGTTTTCTTGTGGATGTTTGGACAAATGATCTTCTTCTGAAGCGGATCCATCATGAATATCTTTTTCCTCTTTACTCCATTCATCTCTTTTACGTAGGCCTTCTTTTGGATATTTTTTGGAGCCTCGTCTCTCTATTCCAGGATTTGTTTTGCCTTCATTTTCATGTACCTTTTTATTACTATTGACTTCATCGCTTACCCCATCTTTATTTTGTCTAGGCATCTTTATTTTATCATCCTCTTTTGACGCTGAGATGTCGATAACTTCGTCATCTTCATCACTCCGCTCATGACTCTTGTGCTTTTCATTAACACTTTGACCTGATTTTATTGTTATATTTTTTACATCATGTGCTTGTATCGACCTATCTTCGTCTTTGTGAGAGCCTTTGTCGAATCTTCTGGTGCCTTCAAATTCTTCTGACAAACCATCAACGGCCGATTTATCGTCGCGATTTCTGGCTTTCCCCTTCACAGGAATTTTACTTGTTTCAATTGTAAAATTTGTTGAGCTCCTGTGCTTTACTTTTGTATCATAAGCCTCATTTGGCGTTTTATTGTTTGAGCCGTCTAGTTGCACCCGCTGTCTCGACGATGAGCGGACCTCGTGCGAAGTGGAAACATCGTCTTCCTTGCTCCATGCGCCATCGTCAACATCATCTTTATGAGAATGCCTTCTCTTCGGAGTTTTAGCATCTTCATGGCCTTTCTCAAAACGACGAGCTTCTGGCGACGCTGATATATCAACTATTTCCTTGTCTTCTTCACTCCCTTCACTACCGTGGCGGTTAATTTTATCTCGGTTATTTGGATGCTTATCGAATGCCGTCGTAAGATCTTTAGGATTTTTTGGATTTACACCCTTTTCAGAGGTTTCCTCGCTCACTTCATGCCCCGGAACTGTCGATTTCTGATTCTTTGGCCACCCAATCTCGTGTGACTCTGAGTCATCAGTCTTCGAAGGATATTGGTTCTTTCTGCCTTTGCCGTGTTTGCTTGATACGGAATATCGCTTACCCGATACTGAAGTATCCAAAATTTTGTCTACATTTTCTGTTGACCTTTCCAAAGCAGAACGAGTTCGATTTTTCACTGAAGACACCTGGATCTTAGCCTTATCGGTTGCTTCTGGAGAGCTCTGCTTTGAATTTTCCAATCTAAACTTGTCCTTGATTTGACGCCTCGTCTTTATCTCTAATAATTCGTCACTTTCATTCGAACCATTTTTGTCCATCATTGCCCTTTCCTTTTTTGTTTTCTCGTTATCTCCTGTTGACGAGGTACCTTCCTTCTCGTTCAAATGTTGGTTCTTCCTGCGTTTGCTTTTTTCGCTTGATGCGGACAAGTCCACGACTTCTCTGCTTTCTTCGTAGCTTCCTTGACTATCTCTTAGCTTTTTACCACCGGCCGTTTGGACCTTAGTAGTGCCGTTTATACGATGTTTTCTGCTTATTTCCAGCTCCTCCTGGCTCTCAGGTGTTTTCTGCTTCCGCATTGGAACTCCAAGTTTGAAACTAGTATTCTTGTACTTCACTAAAGTCGAAGCTTGGTGTTCATCACTTTCTGAGCTGGCTTGATTCGAGGAGGTGGAATGCGAGCCACCAAGTCGCTTTCTTTTTACCGTTTCTGGGCCTTCGCTTTCAGAAGGAATGACTTTTTCGTTCCGTGCCGTTTTGTTTTTTCTCTCCTTTGCTTCCTTCTCATTCGATGCTGATGTTTCGAGCACTTCTTTACTTTCATCTTTGCTTGTGCTGTCATATTTACTCATTGGTTTATGGCTGATTGGCAAATGCGCATCTGGAGTCTGTTTGTTACTACTCTCATTTGACGCTGATATTTCGAGGAACCCTTGTTCTCTCCTTCTCGTCTTGGCCTTCTTCTTCCTTGGTATTGCGTCTGGATGTTCCAGAGAAGATGGTATTCCAATCTCCTTTTCTTCTTGCTCATCCTTTTCTATTTGTCTGTTCACTTTTCTCTTGCGGATTGAAACTTCATCAGAGCTGATTGGAAAGTCATCTTCATCGCTCGAACTCTGCCTGGAATCTGCCTCCTTTATGTCTTTTTGAACTTTCTTTTCTGTAGCTCTAGCTCTATCAAAATCACGAAGCCTTTTCGGGTTATATCCGTTAAAATACTTTACTTTAACTGTGCCTTCTATAACCTCACCCGATCGGTCTTCTTCATACACTATTTCCGCAATCGGGAGTTGTTTCCAATATTTTCGTTTTATGTGTTTCACAGAGTAGATTTTTGTCTTTGCCTCAGAGGTCGTAAGCCTACTATGGGTGCCACTTTTCATTGACGTGATGACTTCTTTTGAGCTCTCGCTGTCGCTATCTGGAAGACGATTAAATTTTTCAATCATTTCCTTGTCTTTCTGATTGTCTCCGTGCCCTCTTAACATCCTATATTTGCTGTTCTTGCTCGTTGAAGTGCCATGAATAACGTGTGTGCTGTAGGACTTATGCTTTGTGAAGGTTGTTGAAGTTGAATGATGAGTAATATGCTCATTTCCCTCATCGTGTTTCTCTGTGAACGTCGGCGCATCACGCTCAATTACTGTTACAATTTCATCGCCAGGTTGGCCTTTTTCTGCTCTCTCTATTTCTCCAAAATGTTTGATATACCACTGTAATTTTGAGTCAGCAATTTCATGGTGTGTTTCGCGACTCTTTTCCACATACCTTGAAGCTTTTGGCTTCTGTTTCTGCGCTTCGTCAAGATCACTAATGTGAGTTGTTTCTCTTCTTTTGCCGTCGTCTTTGTCGTCTTTCGTTTGATAGTCAAAATGACGCTCTGGACTCTCTTCATCAACACTTTCGTATGACGTGGATCCGTGACGGTGGTTTTCTCGACTGGCTTCTTGATTTGACGGTAACTTTTCCACTTTTTGCGTATGCTTTGTAACAGATTTACCATTGTTATTTCCTTGATAGCCAACTTCGTTTATTTCATCCAAATTTTCGCTTGACACAGAGCTTTGTTCCGTAGGAGAAGATTCGTCTTGTGTGTCGCTATTGCTCAACACTTCTGTATTCCGTATTATATCCACTTTTTTCTGAACGTCAGGTGTGTCATGCACTTTATATTGTTGTTCTCGGTTCCTTTTTGACTTGGAGCCACTGATGTTAGTATACTCTACCTCGATGCTGTGTGATTGTTCGCTTTCGGCGTTATCCGCGTCATCAGATGAACTCTGTTTCGTATGTTCCTGAAATTCTCGTTTTTTTGTATTTTCATAAAGTGCATGGACATTTGTAGCTCCCCGCACCGAGCGCGAAAAAATATCTGTATTCCACCGTGCATTTCATTTTTTTTTTTGGCTTTTGCACCGTGCAAGCCTCAAAAAAGCCGTTTGCACTGTGCAAGTTGCGCGACAAATGTCCATGCACTTTATGAAAATAAAATAAATTTTATACTTACATTTTCTTCATCAATATCGCCTTTTTCGATGTTGAACCGGCAGTCCTCCGCTCTCACATGGCCTTTTGCGGTCAAGCATTGGCATGTTCCACAAGAATCAAAGTTATTGAGCAGAAGGGACTTGAGTAATTTCCGTTTCTCTTCCGAAGTCAATAGTCCATCCAGCAGACTTCTAACGCCTGTAGAACCAGCATCTCCGAAATTGTAGTTGATCACGATCTGAGGGCTCTGAGGGCGTTCGCTTGGCTCGAAGTTTTGATTTCTCGTTGGAGATGGTAAACAGCCTCCGCTGAGAATATCCAGCAATTTGGCGAACTTCGAGCATCCTGAGATTTGTGGGCATTTCTTTTGTCTTGTTTTTTGTTGCTTTGCGGGCCTTTCCGTCGACATTGAAGTTGAAGATTTGCCGCGAGCCTGATTGCTACGCGATATGACATCATGTTTGGTTATAGTGTTATGTGAAATTGTCCGGCCTTTTGTGGAAGTGGTCTTGATGACATGACGTTCACTCCTTGCTTCTGGGTGGACCTGAAAAGGAGTATATACATGTCCGGAAAATAATGAGCACAGCGTCTCTGCGCCGAGGCGGTGATGCAATCTTCGATGCGTCAGAGTGCAGTAAGCAATTAGTGCTTACTGTTTGCCCTACAGACTGATATAAAAGTCGCGGGTTCCACCGTCAAGTCCGTCCGAAAAGTCAGCGGACTAACGTTTAGCGTGTGCGGGCCATCTTCAGTTTCCCCGCCCGGCCGACCTGAAATCCGGCCGACGTGCCGAAATTTCGGCCCGGCCCGGGAGCCATGTCTAGTCTTTCGAAAAAATAATGAGCATAACGTCTCTGTGAAAGTGAAAAAAAATTTGGTTTCTCCGCCGCACAACTCATTTTCTCAGCACCATTTTTTCGCCGCGACGTTTCGCTCATTACATATTTTCCTGACAGACTGATAGTACTTGGGGCAAAAAGGCTTGATTATTTGCATGGTGGAATTTTTCGCCGTACGTCATGCGCGATTGCCCTTTTTCTCACAATAAGCGACAAATAATTGCCAAAAATTTGAGCCAAAAAATTTATAAAGAAGGTGAAATCTCCGGATGCGTATTTTACCAACATTCCATTTCCAGAAACCACTCAAAAATCTTTATGTTTAATCTTTACAAATCTGCAAATCCCCTGTAATTAAATGTCGGCAAATCGAAAAGTAAATATTTCCTTTCAATGGCCATGAAATTTCTACGGATATCCGCCTATAAGATTTCACAATCATCACTTGCCTTTATGTTTTTATCTCCATTGGCGTCATCTTTGTTGTCTACCAGTAACTGGAGCTCGTCAGAGCCGCCGGAAATCGATTGTTGAACATTTTTCACGCTGTAGCTGTATGTAGTCGGTGTTGTGAGTGCAATTACACACATTAGTAATAGGAAAATCCATTGCATAGTCAGAGAATATCATATGATATAGGATGGTTGCAAAACAGAAAGAGGGATCGTTGGTTATAATCGATTTATTCGAAGGTTGTTAGTGGGTGTTATAATTCGCCATAATTGAAGGGAATTGAGGAACGTTGGCGGGAGTTTTCCCCAAAATTTGATGTGGGCTTTGGTTTGCGAAATTCCGACGGGGGTGGACTTGTTTTGCAAGAAATTTTGCTGCGACAATCCATATTAATTTCCCGACAGACTGACATTACGATTCATTACAAGTGTTTTTTTTTTGGCGGGCGCACACTTGCGGGCAACCACTTTGTGGGCAAATTTTTTGCGGGCAGCCACTTTGCGGGCAGCCGGCATTTGCGGCCAGCACCGGCATTTGCGGGCAGCCTGGGACATTTGCGGGCAGGGTCGACAGTTGCGGGCAGCCTGGAAGATTTGCGGGCAGCCGACATTTGCGGCAACTGACACCTGATTGTGAGGGTGACAGGGTGGAGGTGGAAAAATTACTATGATATTTTGGAAATTTGCCGACATTTGCGGGCAGCCGACATTTGCGGGCAACCGGCACTTGAGGATAACAAGGTGGAGATGATAAAATTACGGCGATATTTTGGAAGTTTTCCGACATTTGCGGGCAGGCAATACTTGCGGAAAGCCGACATTTGCGGGCAACAGTTCCAAAAGTACCAATACAGTCTGTGTCATTGTTTTTTCCTGTTGCCCGCAAATGTCGGCTGCCCGCAAGTGTCGGTTGCCCGCAAATGTCCCAGGCTGCCCGCAAATGTCTCAGCTGCCCGCAAATGTTTCACCTGCCCGCAAATGTGACCCCCCAAATTTTGCCCGCAAAGTGGCTGCCCGCAAAAAATTTGCCCGCAAACTGGTTGCCCGCAAAGTGGTTGCCCGCAAGTGTCGCGACGCCTTTTTTTCCATAATCAAAATATGGTTCTAACGAGGCTCTAGATTGCACTGTAGGCCATGCTAAATACAGCTGGGGCATTTTGGTTGTTGTTTTTAGCGATTAATCTCGTCGACTACTGGGTTATCAAGAACTCTTGGGGGGCCGGCTGGGGAGAGTCCGGCTTTGTCAGAGTTCGCCGTGGCAACAACAGCTTGCAGGTGGCCGATTATAACTACGCTGTCTATGCCTAAAATCTGTAATGTTCAGTTGACAATAAATGCTTTATTTAACAGGTTTGTTCGTTATTTTATCGCACTATTAAAATTCATTCAATCCCACAATCCACAATTCCAGGCGTGAATTCGATTCATAATATATTTCCTGTCGCCACCTGGAATTTCTTTGAGCAGTCGAATCATGTTGGCAGTTCTAGTCATTAAAAAGGCAGAGGTTAATTTGCAGAACGAAACTTCTTGTTCCACGGTTTTAACCTCCGGCGCTGTTCCCTCCACACGAGCGTAGATTTGTGAACCGACGCCGGCGAGCATGGATAGGCCGTGAAATTTACAGATAGTTGGTCCTCCCGAGTCGCCCTGTACACAGAAAAAACAGATGATTCATTTGAAGAGACTTTTAGCTTACAGGGGAAGTACTACAAGTGCGACGCTCAGATTTTGATGAAACTTGGCACAAATTTAGAATAATTTTTTCTAAGATATGTGCGAGAATCCTAGCTCGCGCTTTGAATTGAAACAACCGAGATTTTTAGATTGAAAGTCGGCCAAAATTTAGGACTTCTTGCCAAATTTCGGCGCGAAAAGTTTCATGCCTATTTCAACCGTAAAGGACAATGTTTCTGCAAAAAATCAAATTATTCCGCACGCAATTGCCAGAGTTATGGCCAAAAAGCACTTTTCTCTCTGACCGCTCTCCACGTTTAGCGTGCTCTTTCGGCGGCAAAAATCGTTCGATATCTCGGCGGCGCCCGCAAAGCGCGAGCTAAAACTTTCAGTAATTGATATTGAGTCCATACCCGACGTGTGTACAAAATTAAAAAAAAATCTGAGCATCGCACTTGGAGTACTTCCCCTGTTAGCAAACATCTCCTTACGTTGCACATCTTCGCTTTGCTGTGGTACGACGCGATTAGACAGCTCTCCGATCCATACGCATTACTTGGCGGTCTCCTTACTGTGTAATGCGCTTCACGGACCTCCCGCGACTTGGCATTGTCTTAACTCTCACAGTTTATTTTGAATCCGAACTTACGCTCGGTCAACCCATAGCCATAGCCAACACAATCTTTCAAATCGGAGACCGCCCCACAATAAACGTATAAAGGAGACGCCGTTTGTACGGTTATGTTCTTTTCCAAAATTAAAAGAGCGTTGTCGTCGCACTCCTTCTAAAAATGTATAATCTGTCATGCTGATCGGCGGTAGGTGCACATGTTCATGGGATCTACCAATATCCGCTTTTCGCGGTAAAAACTTGCGACGGGCACCTCTTGCTCTCCAAGCCTGACGAAGTACTTTTCCAAAAAAGGCCTAATAGAGTGTTAAAAAGTGAGCATACGTACGGTCGTCCAGAAAGTTTGTTCGTTTTTTTCATTGGTTTGGTTTACGAGGATTGTTTGCAGTTTGGCAAAGGGTATATATTTACTTGATACAGCCAGTTTTGCAGAGGAGAAAAAGCTGTATCAAATAAATGTATTCCTAAAACTGGAAGGCCAGGAGAAGAAATAAAGCTGAGGATCGACCGGTCGAGGAAGACGAGACGACAAGGAGAAGGAGTCTTTTATTGGACACACACAGAAGGAAAAGTGATTACAAAATGATTTGATCCGTGTCTTTTATAGTGAATTGGCGAACTTATGCAAATTTGGGGCTTAGCGCCAACAATTCCATTTGCCAAAGAACAAACAATCCTTGTAAAACAAAGGAATGAAAAACGTACAAACTTTCTGGACGACGTCATACATACATACCACTCGGAGAGCCGACAATGTGAGGCGGTTGCGACAATGTCTTCAGCCAGCAGCACACCGCTGCAAATCGTAGCGTTCCCGAACACTTGTTTCCCGTTTCTGGTTGCGTTGACATGCACACGGACCTCGACGACACGCTCGGCATCCGGACTTTCGGAGACCTTGCTGTACAGCCACGGGACTGATAACACCGTTGGCACACATAGTAGGAATGCGAAGCCGAATGGGTGAAACATGGCAGCTAAAGATGTTACTGTTTCCGTTTCAAATGAAAAAAATCAAAACTCTCCGCACATTTCGGTTATACATTTTGATTAACAGATGTCTCATCGGCCAAAAATGGAATATCAATCATGTATTTTTTTTTATTTTTTTAAAACGCGTTTTATTACAGATCGTAGTTTGGCCCGGACATTGTTAAAATCGGTGTCTCAGAATATAACGAAACTTGGTAGCTTTAATCACTGCTAGGCATAGAACATTCGCTTTCTTGTTTTTTCCCCAAAATTATCATATGACGGATTACTGTAACTTTCTTCCTTAAAAAAGATGTGCCCTAATCGAGAAAACGAAGCTCTGTTTTAGCGCAAATCAAGTTTAGGTATACGTTTTCGACTATTTAGAACATTTTTGTAATTATCACCAAGAACTAAAAATTACATCTAAGCTATGTTACACTTGAGGGAACATACCATTTCGGGTGTCAAAAGTGCAGTTTTGAGGTGACGCAGATTTTGAAACCGGAATATTAAACTTCAAGCCTTGCTAATAAACCATAAAAATTTCAGAAAAATCAAATGTATAGTTTTTGAGAAATTGGACATTCAATGACTCATTTGCAATATCACGTTGACCCGAAAAAAAACTGGCATTCTTGGGGTTTTGACCTGACGCAGATTTTGAAAGCTTCCGATGACCTAAAACAAGGTATTTTGGCCGATTTCTCAAAAACTCTACATTTTTTCCTCTGAAACTTTCCATATCCTCCTAAAATGTCATAAGAATGCATTTTGATTACAATTTTTTTGTTCTGAGCAATGTTTTGCACATGGCAGCTTTTTGGCCCTTTTATCGTTGCCGGCAACCTTTCGAACAGTAAAAAATATAGTTTCCATCTTTATAGAGCTGCAAATAATATTGTTGCATAATGCCAAGGACCCAACATTGGCATCCCAATGTTTCGTTTCAATATGAAATTTTTTTCTTCCGGCCCAAAAAATTTCATTCTGGCCGGACGTTTTTCGAAATTTCCAATTTCCGAAGCCCGTCCAGGCCTCTGCTATTCATGGCAACAAGTCTAATATAATGTCATGATGAGCTCCTTTGTTATTATCCGCGAAATGTTTTTGCTGCCAGGCCAAAGCAAGACTTTTTTCGTTCTTCATTGCAATATGCAAATCTTTGTGTGTCAACACCAAAACAGTCATCACCTGAGCGTAATCCTCAAGAAGCTCGAATTTTAATTCCTCAGCGGCACAAATTTTTATGTACTAGCCAGCCCATGACTCAAATGCCGTTGGGATGTCAACAAGTTAATCACAAAATTGCACTCTTAATTCCTTTCGATCCTATTGACGGCACACCGACATAAAAGGTCATTTGCACTGGTGAGCTCACGGAGATATCCTAATAATATTTTCATAAAGTGCGTAGACTTTATTTGAGCTGAAGCAACCGAGATTTTTTGTCTCAAGGTTGGCTTACAGGGGAAGCACTCCAAGTGCGACGCTTAGATTTTCTTTAAATTTTGCACACACGTCAGGTATGCACTAAATATCAATTTCGGAAAGTTTTAGCTCGCGCTTTGCGGGCGCCGCCGAGAATCGAACGATTTTTGCGGCCGATAGAGCAAGCTCAACGTGGAGAGCGGTCAGAGAGAAAAATGCTTTTTGGCCATAACTTTGGCAGTTTCGTGCGGAAAAATTTGATTTTTTGTAGAAACATTATCCTTTACAGTTGAAATATGCATGAAAATTTTTGTGCCGAAATCCGGCAAAAAGTCCTAAATTTTGGCCGACTTTCGATCTAAAAATCTCGGTTGTTTCTGCGAAGCGCGAGCTAGGATTCTCGCATATATCTTAGAAAAAATTATTCTAAATTTGTGTCTAGTTTCATCAAAATCTGAGGGTCGCACTTGGAGTACTTCCCCTGTTAGGAAAAATGGGACATATTGCAAGTCTTGGCCAAGTCTCCGCCGCGCCTTCACCGACCACCCAACGGCTTTACCAGGCCTCGTAGGCACTTCCTACAACCTTTATTTTGGGTATTGTCTTTTAAGCAAATACTCGTACATAGTATCAATACTTTATTAAATTAATAAACACCCATTTCATTCTATACATGATCCGCGACCCTTTCGCACCGGTTCCTGCTCGGCTCCACGTCGAACGGCGCCGACGACGTTGTCAGTTTCCTCAGCAGCAGGCTGAAGCTGCGCTCTCGTTGGACTCGCTTCTTGGTCTCGACGCCGCCACTCGGCTTCAACACGACCACCGTATTGCATGTGGAGGTGTCGGAGGGGGTGATTGATGGCAGCGAGGAGTAGTAGCCCTCTTCCGCCTGGATCTCATATATCCGCTTGGGGTAGAGGACGTGACGGGGGCTGTCAGCGGCTGAAAATTAAAAAGTTAAGGCGTTGGGATAAGGGCAAAAGAGTAAAAAAGCAATTTTGAATGTTTTTGAAAAAAAAAATTTTATTTTTTACACAGTAAAGTCAAAAAAATTTCTCAAAATTTTGCTCACATTTTGGGAATAGCCCATATATCAATTCCTGAAAGTTTTAGCTCGCGTTTTCAAGAGGCAGCCGAGATATTTAGCGCTCCGACGAGAGAGTACACAAAAGGCGGAGAGCGGTCAGAGAAAAGCAATCGTTTTTTGGCCATATCTTTGCCAGTTTCTTGCGGAAAAAATTGATTTTTTGTGGAAACATTACCCTCAACTCCAGAAATAGACATTTAACTTTTCATGGCAAAATTCAAAAAAAAACTTTCATTTTTTGCCAACTTTTGAGGTAAAAATCTCGGTGATTTCTGCAAAACGCGAACTAAAACTCGCATATGTCGAAAAAATAATTTTCCTTAATTTGACCCAAGTTTCATCAAAATCTGTCGCACATGGAGCACTTCCGTTGTGAACTTCAAAATCATGACGAATTGTCGAAAAAATGTTTCCTCTTTGCTGACTCAGACGGCTCACAAAAGTTGAGGGATTAGAGCTTCTGTATCTCCGTTATTGGATTTAATGACTCATTTTTTATGGGATTTCCGTTCGGCAAAAATCCCGGATTATCTGAGGGTTGAGGGGTCAAGACACTTAGAAGTTACAGTAAGAGTCTAGATGGCGATTCTTAGTACCAGAATTGTATACATCAATTCAATAAGAGGAGTACAGTGGAGGAGGAAACATTTGACTCGAAAGGGAAACATTTGACTCGAAAAAAGTAAATTTTATAATTAAATGAAGCCTCCGAGGGCTGAAAATGAGGTTAAAACAGAATGCCAAAAATCAGGGTTTCCAGTCGGGACAAACAATTCATGCTAAGAAAACTCGAAAAAAGCAAATTTTGGGATTAAATGAAGCCTCCGAGGGCTGAAAATGAGGTTAAAACAGAATGCCAAAAAATCAGGATTTCCATCCGGGACCAATAGTTCATGCTAATAAAACTCAAAAAAAGCAAGCTTTGGGGTTAAATAAAGCCTCAGAGGCTTGAAAATAAGGTTGAAATAGACGCCCTCACAAAAAGAGCGGTCGCGCTGTTGAAACTGGATTTTTTCACTTTCAAAGGGAGGTACTTTGCCACATTTTTTAATGCTTCTTGGATGCAAAATGACAGGTTTTTTGGCACTGGAAAAGCTCCCCTACTGTAAGAGTATCTTGCGAAAATATGGAAATGTGAAAAGAAAAAAAATATACTTTTTATCTCCTCCAAACTTTCTCTCCGGCAATTCAAAGTCCAAAAGTCCAAAAAATTTGAGCCCCAAGGTAATTCCTCTTCGAGATTTGCAATTTTTCGGGTTCCTTTGTCCCTCGTCGACGTAAATACCCGGCCCGATTACCACTCGATTGTTGGGATTACCGGAAAACGGAACTCAAAAAATGGGTAATCTCTGGGCCGCTGGAGTTGCCTTCTTCCATCGCAGCCGCTAATTCGAAATTAATTTTGGCTTCTACCTTCCGTTTTTTCACAATTTACCACACAATGTGTGAAGGGGAATCCGAAAATTTTGCAGCCAATATTTTCGAACGAAGCTAATCCTCACCGAGAAGGGCAGGTCAGAATTACGTCAAGACGTGCATTTCGAAGACCCTAACCAGCTAATCCCGGCGCTCCGAAATGTTAGTTTTGGGAAGTCGAGATTTTTATGTTGGACTAGAGATTAGCTGCGGGGAACTTTGAGGAATTGTTTTATAATTCATGCTAAGGAAACATTTGACTCGAAAAAAGCAAATTTTGGGATTAAATGAAGCCTTCGAGGGCTGAAAATGAGGTTAAAACAGAATGCCAAAAAATCAGGGTTTCCAGTCGGGACAAACAATTCATGCTAAAAACTCGAAAAAAGCAAATTTTGGGGTTAAATGAAGCCTCCGAGGGTTGAAAATGGGGTTAAAACAGAATGCCAAAAAATCAGGTTTTCCATCCGGGACCAATAGTTCATGCTAATAAAACTAAAAAAAAGCAAATTTTGGGGTTAAATGAAGCCTCCGAAGGTTGAAAATGGGGTTAAAACAGAATGCCAAAAAATCAGGGTTTCCAGTCGGGACTAAAATTGGATTGTAAAAAAGTTCAGAAATGTGGAAAAATTAATGGTACGTGTGGAGGATGGCCGGAAGACAATAAAAATAATAGTCTTACCGGCTTTTTGGCTCTAAGATAATCCATTTTTTATCAACGGAAATCCAATAAAATGAGTCACGGGGCTCAAATTTTGATGACAAAAAGAGATTCCGCTGACACAAAAATGCTAATCCGCGGTTTGTCAAGCCTTCTGGCTCAGCTAGGAGATTTTTTTTTTTTTTTTTTTTTTTTTTTGAGATTTTTTGGAAATTTGAATTGAATTTTTTACTGCACAGTGCAGAAAAATCATTTTTTTGAATTTTCTCTAAAAATGACGTCATAAATATTCAAAAACATGACGCATTATTCATGTTCAATAAAAATTTAAAAACTCACTTGATTTCTTCCCGAACGTTTGTTTCGAATCGTTTCGACTTGATTCAATTTCCTTGAGGTCTTCATCCGATTTGGGCGAACAAATCCTCGCCAAGAAGTAGAACAGCAAAAAGATCAGGACGATTCCGCTTAACGCGAATGCGAACACAATAACTGAAGCACTCGACGCACGAGGGGGATGGAGTTTGGCCTCGCTGAGGGATCGGGGGCTGTTCTCGAAGGCGTGTGGGGGTTCATTTGATTTGGCTGAAAAAAATGATAAATTAGAGATTTTAAAATAATTTTTTTTTTATTTTTGGGTCAAACATCAGAAAATTTTTCATTCTTTAATTTTATTTTTATTTTTTTTTGATTTTCTTAAATTTTTATTTTTTTTCAAGAAATTTTAAAAATAGTTTTTTTTTTGATTTGTGACATAGACATCGGAAAAATTTAATATTTTTACATTAAAAAAAATCAGAAAAATTGAAAAAAACAAATTAGAGATTTTAAAATAGTTTTTTTTTATTTCTGGATAAATCATCAGAAAATTTTTTATTTTTTTTTATTTTTTTTTTAATTTCAAAAAATTAAAAAATATATTTGTTCTGATTTTTGACATAGACATCGGAAAAATTTAATATTTTTAAATTTCAAAAAATCAGAAAAATTGAAAAACATATTTCTTCGGATTTTTTGGTTTTTTAAATCTTTTTCAAACGTTAAAGAAAATTGAAAATTAATATTAAATATTAAATATTTTAATTAAAATTTTGATAAAATTCCGTAAAAATAAAATTTATAAAAAATTCGCAATTTTTTTTAAAATTTGAAACATAAAAAAATTTTAAAATAAAAAAATAATATTAAATATTTCAATTTACATTTTTGATAAAATTACCCACAAATCAAAAATTTTTTAAAACTTCAAATCTCTAAAACCCATTTAAAAAAATTTACGCGCGCTTTGCAGAAACCATAAAAGAAAATCTTTACAATTTCCCAATTTCAAATTTACCTTCCATTTGTCAACGAATCCTACAAGAATAATTATCCAAAGAATCCGGAAGGGACGTACTCGAGAAAAGATTTTGAATAAAAATGGAATTATTTGGTGCAAACGGTGGGCATCGCTAAAATTAGTGGCTTCTCATGGCCAAATCGGCTTAATTTTCTGTAAAATTAATCCCTAATGCGCCGGAATTCGGAGGCTTTTTTTTCGTAACCACCGTGATGAAATGGTAATTATGACATTTTTTAGGGTAATATGGGGGGTTAAAAAAAAATTTTTTTTACAAAAAAATAAAAAACTTTTTAATTTTTTTTTTATTTAAAATATTAGTATAATCTAGAAATGGCGATTATGACATATTTTAGGATAATATAGGAGGTTAAAAAAATTTTTTTTACACGAAAATAAAAAATTTTTTATATTTTTTTGTTTTTTTTTTTTATTTAAAACATCGTTTTTTTATCTTTGAAATAAAAAAATATTAGTATAATCTAGAAATGGAAATTATGACATATTATAGGGTAATATAGGAGATTTAAAAAAAAAATTTTTTACACAAAAATAAAAATAAAAAAAAAATTATTTTTTTTATTTTATTTTTATTTTTTTTTTTTATTTTTAAACATCATTTTTTGATCTATGAAATAAAAAAATATTGATATAATCTAGTTAATGTATATATTCTGGCTTCCTTACAATGAAGCCAAAAAAGTTTTTCAAAAAAAAGTCAACTTACGAAATCGACTGGGCTGTCGATGCTCAGGCTTTGGCGCTGAATATGCTTGTTGTTGGTAGAGTTGAGAGGTCGAGGCTTCCATGTAATCTCGAGGCTGGAAGTGCAAGAGTTTCCGCATTTTTCTGAAAACATAAATTTTGTTTTTTTTTTTATTTTTATTTATCATGAATAACACGGAAAAAGCAACAAAATTGAAAAAAGTAAAAAATAAAATAATATATTTTTTAATAAAAAAGTAAAAAATAAAATAATATATTTTTTAATAAAAAAAAATAAAAAAATAATATGTTTTTTTAACATAAAAGTTAATAAAAAGATAATATATTTTTTAATAAAAAATAAAAATACAAGAAATAATATTTTTAAAATTTTTTCGTCTTTTTGAGCAACTCCAATTTCGTAACTTTGCTCTTTTGAGCTGTCCAAAATTGGAAAACAATAATAAAAATGGGCAGTAAGACAAAACTTTACGGCTTCTCAGAAAACATAATAAGGAAGTCGACCAAAAAAGATGTTTAAAAAATAAAATGCCTGAAAAAAATCTAAACAAAAAACAGTTCAATTTTTTGTCCTACATTTAAAGGCAGTTTGAAAATAAAAAAAAATCGAAAACAATAAAATAATGCCAAAAAAAATTCACATTTCATTTGCGCGATTGACCTTCATTTGGTCCATTTACAAAACGGTTTGCCGATTTTTCGGTTGCGCTTTAAACTTCAATGAGAAAACATACTTAATCATTAGCTGAAATGATCAGGCTAAAAATGGAAAAAAGTGTTGAGGGGCTAAGGTAGTACAGCCCCCCAGTCCAGTTTAGCCCCCCATGACCCAGTACAAACCCGCTCGTCCATTCTGAACCGCAACATTTATTTCAAAGAATTAATCCAAGTTGTATGGTCCAGCACAAGCCCCCTACGTTTTAGAAAAAGCCCCCCTACGTTTTAGATCAAACCCCCAACGTAGTAGATCAAACCCCCACTTACATTTTTTGTATTATTCTAATTTGTTCATTATGTGGGGTGTAAAACGGGCAAAACCGTGGGGGTTTGAACTACCTTTCGTGGGGGGCTGAACTACCGAAGCCCCAGTGTTGAATTTAGCCAACCTTCAAACGAAAAATTTCGGTTATTTTATTTCGAGAGCTAGAAGCCTCGTATATGTTTAAAAAGTGATCTAAGCTTGTGCCAAGGTTTCGTCACAAGGTTAGAGCCCCATGATACCACGACGAACCGACGCGATCCATAGTATCGTTAACCCGAAAAGTCGTAGCGCCATTTTCTTTCTGTCAATCCAAAAAATTTTCTTTTTGCTACTAGACTCAATTTCCCTCGCCCTCGAGCCGCAGGTAGTCGACCCGGCTCTCTTCGCATTTCCACGCCCCGCCCCCAAAAGCCGTGTCCAATACGCGGCCCAATTGGCAAATTTGCAGAAGAATCGGAGGTCGTCGCGTTTGGCGGCGAAATTGTTTTTCCAATCAAATAAAGCTTTCCGCCGAAAAAACAAGCGATGACTCGCCGACACAATAACAAAAACACACTCTAAAAAATTGCAAAAATTCGGAAAATGCTCATAATCGCAAACTTTGGGCCGCTAAACCCGTCGCAAAGCGGGCTTAACGGAATGGAGCCGAAGCTGTTTGTAGGGCAAGCTTAGCGGGCCGAAATCCGGAAGAAAACCGATTGCAATGAGCGCGGGATTACTGTCTAGCTACATCAAAAGCTTTACATTTGACTTATAGATTACGATGTATGGGCGGCGACGTGACTAAATGGGATGATACGAAGAGAGCCGAAGCCATGTGGAAGGGGGAGGAAGGACGAGGGCGGATGGGGGGAAATATTTGGCAGGGTGTGTGTAATGTAATGTAATAAATAGTACGATGAGTGGAGATACAGTAAAACCTATGCGTAACAAAAGTGAGGCCACAGCCGCCGCAACAGCATTCAACCGGTCGCTGCGTCCCGCGACGAAACCCGAAAGGACATCGCAATCAACCGAGACGTGGATTTGGAAGGAAAGGAGAATAGTTTTGGAAGTCGCAGCCTGAGCGAGCGGTTGGCCGTCACGCATCAAAACTGCAACACAATGCCAAAGTTGCCAAAAAAGCGAAAATAAATTTAGTTTCTTCTTCAATTAATTACTCCGTGAAAACGCAATTGTTTTGGGTCGTATTTGCGTGAATAAGAAAGTCAGAACAGTATTCTATTTTTTGATTCCTTCTGGGTGCGTAGAATTTTTGTGTTTCGGGATTTTTTAGGGTTGGAGTGGAACAGGTTTGTAAACTTCTACAAGGTTTTACAAAAAAATGCTACGAAATTAGTAAAAAGCGAATGGATAAGATTGCAGAGCGTGGTAAGTAGAGTATTATATTTTTTTACGGCCTCCAAATTTTTCAAGAGCAAAAAGTTTTATCGATTTTTTAATTTTGCGGGGTTTTCACCTATTTTTAGTTTTTTGTTGCATTAAAACTGTTTTGAAGCATGCAAAGGTCCAAAAAATAGATCCAGAATAGTCGGGAAGTCTTGCGGAAGAACAGAGACCTTAACCCGCTACAGTACAGAGGTTTTCGATTTTTCAGCTCAGCGCACTTTTCAGAATTTTTCAATTTTCGCCATCAAGATGACGGAATTTCTGGATTCTGAGAACGAATTCTGAACCAGCGTCCTTGACTTGCTCTAGAACCACGTTTCGCTTCTCTCTATCGCATTTTGTATTTTATCATTTCGAGATTTTTTGAAATTTTTGGTGTCATGTTTAATATCAAAAAATTTAACCTAGGTCGAAATTCAAAAATCCGGTACCCAGTTTGCTCCGAAATGGGATGTAGTATCTTCTGATTTTTTTTCGGCTTCTGAGCTACGGTGGGATTCTCAAAAAGTTGCATTTTGTTCCATTTTACACTTTTTTTTCGAAAAATCGGCCCTCAGGGCACAGACTTCAAAATTTTCGAATTTTTGCGTGTGCCATAGCATTCAGCATGCAAAACTACCCTACAGTAGGTATTCGATTTCTAAAATACGACAAATATACGAACGCACTACGCGATTTAAAGTTTTCGGGGTTTCAAAATTTTTGCACGGTATGTCGAATTTCTCGGAAACTAGAGCGAAATTCAAAAATCTGAAAAATACGGCTCGGTGTATTTTGCCTGGCCATAATCAGGCCAAATTTCAGCCGTCTATGCTTACGGCTTCAGGGCGAAAATCGAATCCGGAAAATTTCCCCCGGATTTTCAAAAATTCGAAAAAACGCCCTAAGGGCGTCAAAGTTCAAATTTCGGGATTCGAAATCAACCCCATCGTGATCAGCATTAAAAACCGGACCAGATAACATGACCGGACAGAATGTCAAGAGAAAGAGTCCAGAGTTCCTAGAGTTCGCCGCCCAAACGCTCAATGGTAATGTCTTGTATAACGATGAAAGTAAATTAAAATAAGGTAAAATTTACTATAATTGAGAAAATGTGTTAAAACTTGTTGATTTACACTGGTTATTTCAATGAAAATAAGTTTATTGAATTTCATGAACTTTGACCTTGTTGGTCTACAGGGCGGGACGGAAAATTATTCGCAAATGACCATATAAGTGCCTTTCATAGTTTGGAACATGATTTTCAAAGAAACTGGGTGGTTTGACTGGCCTTTTGCCCTTTAAAGTACGAAAAAACCCCGATTTTTCGCAAAGTTCATGTTTCGCGCTACTCCACACCGCAGATGAACTTTCAAGAAAACTTCCTGAACAAAAGTTTGTTTTATGACCACAACAAACAATCTTATCCATTCGGATTTTTAAATTTTCGTAGAATGTAAAACGTTTTGATGTGGAGCGTGTGGACAATTGGAGTCTATTGAGTGTATTGGCCTGCTTGTGTATTGTGGGATTTGGAGGAATAAAGAGGTCATTGGTAACTGTTGGAGTATTGGAGAGCTTGTCTAGGACAGCGTGTTAGGAGACCCGGTGTCTGATCGTGTAGACGAGGACCGGAGGATCTCTTTCAAATCGCGAGGGACATAAATGTTGTGGAACTTGGATGATTGGGAAAAAGACGATTGGGGAAACCGATACGATTATTTTTCATCGATGCAGAGATCGTAATTAGGATAGTCGAGGGTGTGATTTCGAAAATGACATGCATTTTTATGGTTTTTACTTTTTTCCTTAAGTAGTACTGTAAAGTATAAATTTTTTGAATTTTTTTCATTAATACTCGAATTTAGGGGTTTTCGATGGTGCTGCTTTCACATCAAGAAAAATGAATAAGATTTTCGAAATCAGCACCATCAAAATACCCCAAATCGAGGAGAATCTCAGACATTTCTAAACTACAGTCCATACAAGGGCTAATTGAAAAGTAATTTAAAATAATTGGATTTCCCCGCAAATCCAGTCTCGAAATTCTCTGTAATTGGGGATAAAGACGGCCAAAATAGCACACAAACATCCCTGTTTATTCTACAAAAGCCTCCGTCTACAATACTCCAATTTGACGTTATAATTAAGTTTTAGAGATTAAAAAGGAACTTGCTGACGAATGAGGCATTTTCGCCGCCGGACAAAGCAAAAAAGGAACGCGAATCCACCTGTTTGTCTTGACGGTAAATAACAAACATCTCGCTAAGTGAAAGTCAACATAAGTCTCGAGGACAAAAGATTTGCAAAGATTCACACGCGTATCTGGTGATGTTTGGCGTCCCAACGCACGACAAGGCACGGAGAGCGGACTGCATGGGTTTTGAATCGAAAAAATTGGTAAAATTTGAGCTTATGGAGCTTCATGAAATCTGATTTAAAAAATTCCCAAAAGCCAGATTTTCGCCTTCGAATATAGTAGCAAAAAGAAAATTTCTCATCACTGCTTTGCGACGGATGGAAATTTGATGCGCGAATGCGACTAGGCGAGTCATTTTACCGCGACCAGCGTTCATTATTTTCCCGACAGATCAACATTTTACCGGTTTAAGAATATTTTATCAGTCTGTCGGGAAAATAATGAGCACAACGTTGAAAATCCTAGTCGCTGAAGTCAGCAAAAACAAGTTGATTTTGTCGCGACACAATTCATTTTCTCGGCAGCGATGCGATTTTTGATGCGACAGAGTCATTATTTTCCCGACAGAC